TTTTTTTTTTTTTTTTTGGTGTACTGTTATCTTATTTTGACTATTATAATAGTCATAATATGTTAATAATAAGATATATAATACTAATCTATAATAATTATTAGAGAATATTATTCCGCTTCAAATAATAAAAATAATCATAAACTTAATTGCATCTCGGGAACATTTGAGCTGTAAAAACTATACCATTAGTTTAATTGTGTATGTTTTATTAATTGTTGTTCTTAAGTTTTTTCTTTAGCTATTTGGCGTTTCAATTAACACTTTTTTTCATTATAATTAAACACCATATCCGCTTTTATGCATGATAAACGCAAGGTTTCCCTAACTGTAATTTATGTCTTTTTACTGTGCTTTGTGGCCAACCAAGTTTAACAATATTGAATATATTCAATAAATCAAATTCAAAATCATTGATTAGAAAACAATAAAAAAAATTAGAACATTTGTTTGGTTAAATTTTCAATTTAAGTAAACGAATATTCACATATACCCGGTGTACTAAAATTATTATAAAATTAGAAGAAAATAATAGTGATAGTTTAAGCTCATGAACACGTGAGTATTATTATGATTAATCTTATTTATATACTTATAAATTATTATGGACAAAGAACTTTTTTTCAAATAAGAATTTCTAACGGTTATAATAAGAATAACTATAAAATGAGTGATCAGATCTATTTTCTTCCCCAAGTACTTAATAAACATTCAAACTGACGTAAATTAGAAATGAATAATAGTTTTTTCAAGTGGCTAATGTTTTTCTCTTTGTTCGTAATACTATTTAACTAAGTAACAAACGTGACCTCGACAAAAATTTGAATATCATTGAAATGTGCAACTGACACAAACATAATAAATATAACACTAAGGTGTTGGTTTTAAATTAACTGTTTTTTGACGTTCAAAAGGAGTTGGGTTCATTGTAACTGAGCATCGTGTCTAGTACCTTTTTCGACTTCTCTTTTAGTATTGTTTGGTTTACGACAATCAACACTTGTGTCGATTTGAGCTAGTAGAGAGTTCACTCGCGTTGCTGCAGGTATCCTCCTGACAACAATTAATGTTAAAAATGTTTTACACTCGTTTCTATGTATTCGAAATTGTGTTCATAATATCTCTAGTCACTGTTGGAGCTATAAGAGATGAAGAATCGAATAAAAAAGGACATTGTAATTGTAACGTCAATAATGAGATAAATACTGTAGAAGGACAATATAAACCAACTTGGGAAAGTCTTGAAAGTAGACCTCTACCCTCATGGTATGATAAGGCCAAATTTGGAGTATTTATTCACTGGGGAGTATACTCTGTACCAGCTTTTGGCGGAGAATGGTTTTGGATGAATTGGAGAGGTAAGTAATAAAACTATTTAATTAACATACTCTGAGGGACAGTGATGCGCACTGCCCTTCGGGTTTGAAACTCGATCACGGACGGCTTCATTTGTTGAGCGAGAGATCAGTTTGGTAATTGGTGTCGCCATTTTTCTCTCTGGCGTCCAACTTATCACTCGTCCTAGAGTATCAATGGTTAAGAAACCTCCTCCTTTGGGAAAGGCCGCATGGCTTTTAATGGGCTTAAAAATCGATAAAATTTTTTTTTTTTTAACTTTACAAAGTGATCAATTTATAATTGACTATTATTTTTTTTTTCTAAAATAATAATTTTAAGAATTTTTTTGTTGGCTTATTTAAATAGTATTTGTCCTCGATGTATAAGTAGATAAATACTCTTTTAAAGATGATATCATATATAATATGTATGTTGTAAGTTTAAATAAACTTGTTAAATATTATTTAACTAGTTAGATAGAAAATTATTCAATTAAGAAAATAACTGGTCGATTAACTTTACACTAATTATTCAGAAGTTATGAGTATTTTTTATATTTGAATGGGAGGAGTAAGGTCGCAGAGAAGTACATAATAATAAAAATAACATAACCCAAACATCGTCAATAGTTTACATTTTAAAATATTATTAATATCCGAAAACTAGTTTAAAATTAGTTATCAACCAGTTATTTTCTTTAATGTATCATTTTCTAACATTTAATCTATTAAAATATTTATATTGCCATTATGAAATAAAGTTGGTACCCTTAAATAATAATCACTAACAGATATCATCTACACTTGTCCCAACTATGACGCGTTCCAATAAATTGGGTTTTTTTTTAAATAATAAATGTTGATTGACTCGATAAGTTATTTATATAAATATAGTACTATTTCATTGAAAGTAAAAATAAAAAATATTTTATTTACTTATTTTCAACAATAATACAAGATTATTATTTTTCATACAATTTTATGGAGACGTTTATTTAAAATATTTATATCTGAGAAAATTATTCTATTTAATTTGATGAACAATGTTTGGTTCAATATACACTTAAATGCTTATTATAATTTAACTGAAACTTTGATTTACTAAAAATATTTATATATTTACACATATTTATTTGTAATTCTTAGGAAGAGGAGGTCAATCATATGTTAACTTCATGACTAAAAACTATAAACCAGGTTTTACCTATCAAGATTTTGGTCCACAGTTTACAGCCGAATTTTTTGATCCTATGCAATGGGCTGAAATTATTAAAAAATCTGGGGCAAAGTAAGAAAAACAAAAAATAAATGAATAAAAAATATAAATACCTACTTTAAGCATACAATATTATAGTTATAAATTTTTATATTTATAATTTAGAGTGTGATAATGATTACTCACTAAATTTGCAATGTTTTATTAAAGATATGTTGTATTAACATCTAAACATCACGAAGGTTATACATTGTGGCCTTCAAAGAGATCATATGGATGGAATTCTATGGATGTAGGACCTCATCGAGATTTGGTTGGTAAGTAATAAGACAAATATCAATATTAAATATTTTTTTAAGCTATGTGCCAATGATGATTTGTTTAATATAAAAAAAGTACAATTTTTTAATTCTTTATAACATTTAGCCGGCGCGTGGGTTAAAGGGTACTAGTTCATTTCAACTTATTTTTTTACATGTATATTATTATGGAAATTAAAAAGAAACACTGTACTAAGAAAGAAAACCTTTTTTTTTCTTCTAAAATGTTGAAATTTATGACTTGTGTCTTTTTACTCACGCATCATCTATTTATACTCGTACAATTTGATTTACAATTATAAATGAAAATGTCAAATTTTATTAGTAGTATAGTAAAATACTAACTATTCAATACGTTTTAATAACTATAACGTTCAGTTAATAATCTTGAAATATGTTTTTGCTTTTATTTGTTTTTATATATATCAGTGAAAAGTAAGTGGCTTAATGTACATTTGTAAATTCATTTTTAAAATTATCTGTCTTAAAATGATTTTTTTAAACAATTTGTCGTTGATATAGGATTAGACAATAGAAAATAGTGGTGTTTTTAAAAATGATAATTTAGGACTGTTTAGAGTTTCCTCATTTTATTAAAAAATGTATAAATATTTATGAGTTTTTGTTTATATAATATACAAAAAGTTTAATTTATAGATTTCTTTAGTACACATTTTATATATTAGTACATTTGAGATTAAATTGAAGTTAAAAAGTAAAAATGTTTATGTGTATAGGAGTTTTATTTTCATACTACTTGACTGTTTTTTGTGGACGTTATAATTCTAGGGGAACTCAGCAGAGCTGTAAGAAGTTTAAACTCTACACGGTTTGGACTATACCACTCATTGTATGAATGGTTTAATCCCTTGTGGATGCAAGATAAAAGTTCAAACCTATCGACTCGTTACTTCGTAGAAACAAAGGTTCTTCCAGAACTCCACGAAATAGTAATAAATGTAGAATTGGGTCAATTTAGATGTTTTTATAATCCAATTTTTCCTATAGGTGAACGAATACAAACCAGAGATAATCTGGTCCGATGGCGAATGGGAAGCTCCGGCGGATTCATATTGGGATGCTTTAAATTTCCTAGCTTGGTTATATAATGAAAGTCCAGTCAAGGATACGGTTGTTGTTAATGATAGATGGGGTGGCGATACACTTTGCAAGCACGGTGGATTCCTAACGTGTGCTGATAGGTATCAACCAGGTACGCGTTTTTCTTAAAATGATTAATAAAACTACTGAGTAGAACAACTAATGGATTGAGGTAACTGCAGGCAAAGTAATGACTAGAAAGTGGGAAAATGCCATGACAATTGACAAATATTCATGGGGATACAGAAGAAACGCTCGTTCTCGTGACATTTATACAACTCAAGAATTAATCATTGAACTCGTGGAGACAGTTAGTTTTGGAGGTAAATGGAACAAATCTATTGAAATGATTTAACACTATTTAAATAAATTAACGTGTTTATTTTATAAAACCGTTTGAATACGACTGTACAAAATATTATTGTGTCTATTTTTTTTTTTGACAATAAAGTTCATAAAAAAGAACTAGAAGTCACATACAGTGAAACCTCCTTTAACGGACACTTCTAAATAGCGGACATACAAAACGATAGATTAAGACTAAGATAATAGTTTTAACTTTTATTTAATATTTTTAATGACTTTTATTTAATGAGAATTTTCTATTTTTGTTTTAATGATATGATAAATAAAAATTTTCAAACCATTTTGTGCATTTTTGACCAAATTTCCATTGATAATTTGTAGTTTAGCATACAGTAGTCATTATGATGTCACATGAACAAGTTACTTATTGATAGTTCTTGTTATCATCTGTTTCTTACGATATCAAAAATAAATACTGATAATATTTTATGGCTCATTGAAACAGATAATTTTTGATTCCGGTATTATGAAAACTAAATTAATGATGACTTTCTGTTTTAAATCCAAATTTTTAAACAATTTTAAAATGCAAAAAGTTTACTGAATAAAAAAGTTTTAAGAACAAAATTGTTTGAAAATTTTTCTATCATATAATTAAACTAATAATAGATGTTTAATAGTGGTACCTTTATTCTAAATTTCCGATACAATAATAGCAAAATACGCTTTCACTAGCATTACTATAACGAACTTATGTGTCAAAGTACATAAGACGATAAAAATATAATCTTATCGTCATTTATGCTGAAATAATAAACTAAATAAATTAAGTACCAATGTTTGGTGTATTGTGTCAAATCGCGATTATTGATACGATGTGTTTGTTAATCTTAAAACTATTGTTTTGTGAACAAATTTAAATTTTAGACTTTCGTCAAAATTAAATTGAATTGTAGAAGTTAGTGTATCCGTAAATAAAATTTTATATAGAAAAACACAAATCATGAATATTATGTCAAATAAAGAGTGGGTTGAAAATGGTAATAACAAACATAAATAAAAAAAATGTGAAGGTAGCGTGATTAATAACGAACTCTTTGTATGGTGTAGCAAAGTTCGAGGAAAAAATTTGCCTATTTTGGAACCAGTGAAGAATATTAATAGTTTTCTATTATTTAAATTGGTTAAATATGTATTTTGCCATTTTTCAAAAAATAATGTTAACTCTATAAGTTATAAAGGGTTACGATAAAAAATAATTAATAACTGTCAAATCAAGAAATGTACCTATGTAACTAAAGAAAATCAACAATTTATTTTCAATATTATATTTATTTTGCGAGTAATTGAATGATAAACATATCATCCTGTAAACATGAAAATAATAGTAGAAATAAATAAAAAAAGACAACTTACAATTTTGTAATTATTAGAAAAATTGACATTTTTGTAAATTTATAATTAAATTATTGTCTTTTATTAATCAATAATTGTATCATTTTTAACTTCCTATAATTTTTATACTACAAAATTTTCACAAAATAAAAGAAAAATAGGAGTTTGTTCTTTAAAATGTTTATGGTTTATCTTATAATGAATATTGTTTTTAGGTAATATACTCGTCAACATTGGACCTACTAGTGATGGTGTGATTCCAATTGTTTTTGAAGAACGTTTAATTGAAATTGGTGATTGGTTGTCAATAAATGGTAAATCTATTTTTGAAACTACGCCTTGGTCAGTATGCCAAAATGATACAACGAACCCAAATTTATGGTAAAATAATAATAAATAGTAAAATGAAGTAAAATAATTATTTATAATTTGATTAATTTTAAATTGAAGGTTTACACAAGCAGATAAATTCACCATTTACGCAATCATGACAAAATGGCCAAAAGATAATTTGTTACTTTCAGAGTGCATTGTAGATATTGGAATGGATAATATCTCATCGATTACTATGTTGGAAACCCAAAAGAGCTTAAATGTAAGTATTGATAAACTATTACTATTATAATTAAAGCAATTGTTTAGTGAGTAATGACAAACTTTATATTGATTATTTAGTTTAGTCAAACGACCCCAGGGATAGTGATCAGATTGAAGGATCACAGACAAAAACTTGCAAGTAATCACGCATGGCCGTTGAAAATCGAAATAAAGCATTGAGTAGTTTTCGGAAATTAAATCCTTTCATTTGTACTACCGAGTAATACTTCATACGAGACTATCGTACCAAATACCTGAAATTAATTTTTATATTTATTGTATTTTGGTACAAAAATTGAATTAATCAAAAATATAATTAATTAATAATTTTTAATTAATTATTTGAAATAAATTAATCGTTTTAACTAAAAAAATTATTTTCAAACTACTTAAATTTATCAGAAGATTCTTACTGTAAGTAAAAATTTTCTAGTCATTAAAAACATGTGACTACCTGTCAGACCAATATCATCTTTTTGCATTTGTAGCATAAATAATTCAACCTAATTAAATGAAACAAGTATACATTTTATTAAATTATTTTTTTAAAGCTTACTTCTTTACAATATGATTGCTGGGGAATATTATAAAGTGTTTCTAAAGGTCCTTTACTATTTTCGTATATTCTAACGGAGCTTAAACACAATGAGCATGCCCTCAATGTGGATACTGAAAATGACAATATGGTATGGACGTCTTTACTTATATTTGGGTATTGGTCTGATTTCCTACAAATGCAATTTATTTGTTTTGTAATTTCAAAACAAATTATTATTATTGCTTATGAGGTATATTAGAGAGAAACGAACGTACGTTACTCCTTGACGCATTTCCAAGCATATAATATACAAATGAATGAGCAATGACACACAAAGCAAGTGACATAGACAATCATCAAGAGTTCTGGCTAAGCTACATAGTCTTGTATAATCTACTCGCAATGTTTTCCACTGTTTAGGAGTTATAACCTAATTGAAAATAATTTTCATTTCACAATTATAGAGAACAAAATTGTATTTGATTAGATATACCTTGCCTCTGTATTCGTTTAACCGTTCTGTAAATAATTTTAAGTAATCTCCAAGAGCCATACTTCCCATTATTATCACTTGATCTGCAAAGCAATATGACAGAGTTGAAACTGAATTTATTATTAGAGTTAATATAGCTATCCAAACATTATATTGAACGACGCTAAAAACTTGTGGAAACATATTAGATATGCACATTTCAAACACTTCGTGAAAGTCTACTTTGTCTGTCATAATAAGACTAGTTAAAAGGAAACTCCAATGTTCGACTGTAATAAAGAAAACCCATAACACTAATTAATAATGGTCCAGACAAAACTACGCCCTAAACAATTTACTTACCCATAGAAAATATTAAGAATAAAACTGATATAAAGGTGAATTTCATTTTCAAGTATTTTTGATGACCAAAATATCCTTCCACTTGTTCCCATTTTTCCAGTAGGTTACACCATTTTGCGGATAAGTTGATGAATAATGCCATAGTTACTGCTGCGCCACCAAAAAATAACACTATGCCTATTTATGGCACAAATAAGAATGATCTAGGAGAAAACAATTTATTTGAAAATTGAAAATAATTAAATTACCCCCTTTAAATATATTGACGTCACTGTTCTTCAAATAATGAAAACTTAACAGAGTCATAATAATTTGAAGTGCTAGTGCAATGAAAGAAAACATGGTCCTGATACTGCATATTCGAAATCTACCCTGAGAAATTGGAATCAAACACAAATACTGAGCAAGTTGAATAGGAAAAGAAGTGGCGGATCGAAAGGAATCAATTGGTATTTCTGGGACACTTATAAAATAGCAGCTATTATTCTCTATGTCAATCACACGGTTTGATTTGATTTTTGCCCTTAATATTTTCTTAGTTTTTGGAAGTGATTTTTTAAACATTTTTTCTATTTAAACTATAAACCATTTTATCATTACAAATTTAAAAACTAAAAAAAAATGATGTGATCGAATATTACACACATAAAAATTTAGTGTATTAAAGGAACTTTGTGGTATAATGAATTTCGATGATCATCATGGCTTAAAGTACTTTTGCACTCAAGTTCATTCTTAAATGAATAATTTATTAAATGAAAAGTTCTTTTAAGATATCAAAATATGATTAAAAATTCTTCAATTGTTTTTTTTTTATCTATCATTTATAATATTATTTAATAAAACTATTGTTAAATTTTTGAACAGATACTCAAGTGATTATATGCCAAATTCTATTAGGTTTACTAACAAATAGTCTTATCTATACTTTCAACGGTTATATAACAACTTATTTTAAACACTTAAATTCCAAATGAATAGTAGAAAAAAATACGTAGATATAATTTATGTGTCTATTAAACATTAACTGTTGAAAATAATTATATAATGTCAATACTTTGTACAATATCGATTCCTTTATAAATTGTATACAGTTTATCAGGTACACATATCAAACGAATACCTGAGTCATACATCGTTCATACAATAAACAAATCGGTTTTTGGCTACCTTCAGATTAAAATTTACTAAAATTAAAAGGTAGAATTACAAAAGATAACTTTATATATGAAAAATAATCATTATAAATGGCAAATATGCCATAAGTATAAAATATTGAATCACAAATGAACCAAATAATTTAAGTATGTTAACGTTAACGTGCTAATTAATTATTGACATAAAAGTTCACTTTAAATGTTATCAAGTTTACAATAGCGTTTAGGTAAGTATAAGAAAAATCTTACATCATTTTAAAGGAAACAAATAAAAATATTAAGTTTTATTAATACTTTGTCGGATAAAATAACAATAGTTATATTTTAAAATAGTTTGTATATAATTATAATATAATAATACTAAGAATAATACTATAGCTGAAAAAGTTAATTGTATATTTAAACTTAAAATATCATTAATAACTATTTTAAATTTAAATTTTTGATACTTCATACAGATATGCCGCCATTAGCTTAGTCTGAAATAGAAAATCTCATGAATAGAAGAAAATTTTTAATTGAATTACGAAAACCATTAGTTCTACTCGTATTAAAAGTATTGTAGTTTATTTATACTTTTAATACTAGTTAATATTGGTAATTATTTGTTTTATTCATCGTTAACACGATGTTTATACTTTATCTTTAAAAGATAGAATACTCACTCCTTCAATGTAATTGAGCAAGTTAATTTTTTCATCTTGCGAATGAGCACCATCATCGCCAGCTCCCATTGGAAGAAGAAGAACACTTTTACCAGTTATTTTCTATAAAGAACAGCAGGAATGAATAGACACAACATTTCAGAAAAGAATATTTGAAAATGTAACTTAAAAATATTTTTTATGTATAATTAATAGGTGCATTAGGGGTGGATCCATAATTTTTTGAAGGGACACGCAAAAAAATGTTAAACGTCAAGATCAATTTTTTGCTTATCTTTTAGTTTAAACATACTTTTTTTATTAAGAGAGTGCAAAGAAGTGGTGTGCACCAACTTGTGGCGTCCTTTAAATCTGCCACTGGTTCATATTTTAAAAATAAAACATTTTAATATTTTCGAATATTTTTAAACATTTTTACGCTAACTCTCAGAAATTAAGCTCTCAATATAAATAGTTACTATAAATTAATTGGCCTTACTTTATAAAAACTCAACGCATAAAATCTTACTATATAACATTTAACTTCCATAAGAAGCAATTAAAAATGAATTAGTTTATAAAAAAGGAATTAAAAAAATATTACACAACATACTTCTAATGTTAATGTAATAGGAATTGATCCGCCACAAATAGTGTAATCTGGCTCTGAATTATATACTATTTCTGTAGCTCTATGTGCTGCCATAAAATGAGAATTAAATGGATCTGTAATCCACGGTATTTCGCCATCATTAGACTGAATTATCTAAAATTTAAATAAAAAAATTCGGTGAGCCACACATTAGAAATCTTGTATTTTAAACAGATGGATTTTTTTTTTTAACTAAAATAATTTTAGTTTGTTCTTCTCTTGTATATACAGGGTTTAAAATCTAACAAAAAAAAAAAAAAAATGCAAGACTTCGGGTATGTACTCTATTATCCGGCTTTAAATCTGACCCTGACCTTATCATTATATGTTTTCAATTTTGTTACACTACAGTTACTTTTACAAAAGTGGTTTAGTATTAAGGCTACATTATTACAATTTTTTATTTGTAAAATTACATTAGTTCTTCAATTAAACTAATGAACATAGTATTTGCATTGAAATTTCCATTAGCTGTTAAAACTTAACGAAATGTTCGTATACTGAGAAATAAAAAGTATATAAATCGTATTTAAGTTGAATTAATTCGATTTTAAGAGAAATTATATGATTTTGGTAGTTTTTGAATTGATTTCAATACTTATATTAGTATAACTTATAAATAAGATACACGTCGATGCAAATGCATCGACGTGTATCTTAATAAAAGTGTTTGATTATAATTACTTTTAGTTTGTTAGGACTTTTACGTGAATTCCATATACTATTTATATAAGACTTTACTTGATCCGATACTTTTTTTGGATCCTGATTAGGTACCAAACGAATAGAAAATTTACCAATTACTTTACGAGGAATTACAGTTTTAAAACCACTACCCGAAAATGCTCCTTCAATTCCATGGATTGAAAGACTAGGTTTCCTCCAGTTGTTTATCAAAAGATCTTCCTACATAAAAAATTATACAATTTGGATGATAAAATGCAATTCTAAAATTATATATCTCGATTTTACTGACTTTTGTTTCCTTTAATGGTTTTGAAACACCTATATCTGTTAAGTGGTTATCAACGTTAAAGTCGAGTTTCATAAACAATTCTTTCTCTTTTTCACTTAATGGTTCAACATCATTATAGATCCCGGGTATAAGGATTTTACCCTTATGGTCTACTAATTTATCTAATATGTGAATCAAATCTGACATTGCTTCAAATCTTAAAACAAATAGCTTTATTAAAAACATTAAACTTCAAAAACAACATTTTTGTTAGTTATAACACTTACACAATTCCACCATACATTCCACTATGTAAATCTTTACTAGAACCTTTAATTTCAACACCAAAACTACACATTCCACGGAGACCGTAAGTCAAACATGGTTTTTCTGTTCCCAGCCAATAACTGTCCGATACACATACGTAATCAACGTCACTAAAAAATGTATCTTTTCTTTTCGAAAGTAATTCGCTTAAACCTATGCTACCCGATTCTTCCATGCCTTCAAATATAAACTGAAAAAACAACAAATATTAGAATTTTTATGATTTTTAATCTAATTAATTTTAAATTAAAAAACTGATTGTTAAAATTCAAGTTTTTAAAGTTGTAATAATTTAAAAAATAAAAATTTTATATGAATATCTCAAAAAGTGTGTTTCACATTTTTTTGCACTTATATTTCTGTACGAATTATATGGAATCAGACCTTGATTTACTAATTTATAGGCCTAGTTCAATTTTAAATATTTGGCCTATTTATTAAACAAATTATAAAACTATCGATAATTTTATTTATTTCGGATAATTTTGTCAGGGCGTCTCTTTTCGAGAAGGCCTTGTGCAAATGACCTTTTATAAATAAGAGATAGCACGAAGTACATATATTTAACGAAAAAATAACTAAAAATAGATATTTCATGATTACTTTCAAATTGACTGGTAACTCAGTTCCAGTTTGCTGATATGCTTCTATTGCATGCATCCAACCAAGAACTGGTCCTTTATCATCGGATGATCCTCTGCCATATAGTTTATCATCCCTTTTAGTTAAAATAAATGGTTCGCTAGACCATCCATCTGATATATCAGCAGGTTGAACATCCAAATGACCATATAAACATATTGTCTTTTTAGAAGTATTATTTCCTAGTTTTCCCATTAGAACAGGAGGTAGTTCGATTTTTTCATTATTCATAACCTGTAATTTATAACTCTCAGAATCATTTTTATCGAATTTCAAGTTTCGTTCACACATTTTACATGTACTAGTATTATGTAAATAGAAAATATTTACCTGAATACCAGTTTCACATAGCTCTACTTCAGCTCCGAGAATTTTCAATTTATTATTAGCCCAATTCATCATCTTTAAAACTTCGAATCTTAAATTTGGATCAGCAGAAACAGATTTTATAGATACCGCATTTTTTAAATTCTCCACAAAATTATTTTTTTCTTGTTCAATGTACCTTTAAGAATAGGTTATTTTTATTAAGGTTGAAATTTTTAAAGCTATTTTTAAGTAATAAAAACAATTTTTATTTATATTTTAAATAAACCTAGGTTAGATATTTAATTTTAATAGATTTTGATATGTTTATTTATTGAACAATTATCAATGAGTAAACATCACTGTGAACCAATAAAAATAGCAACATATTTAGTGGAGTTTTTATTCGAATAAATAGTAGTGGCATGGGGAGGCTTTTTTTCTAAATATTATGGCTCATTTTTTACTACATATTTTAATTTGTAGAGTACAATTGAATAGCTCTGTGAAAAACAACATAAGTTCATTATTTTTAAGATCAAATTTTGGTGATTTTTAACTAAGATAAAATTGATTAATAATATATCTTTTTCTTATTATTATGAAAAAATCTCAAAACTTTTTTTATAACTGACCAGCTTTTGAATAAAGCCACAAATTTAATTATGAAGGTTAATTTACATATTAAATAATGCAAAAATGTATTAAAAATATTTTGAGGTGTCAAAAGCCTTATAAACATGTAGCTTTAGTTTAATTGGAATTTGTTAATCAATTTGATAATTAAACTAACGAAATTTTTCAATGTTCATACATTTTAGAAAACACATTGTAATATATCTGAAGTTTAAAAAGATTGAAGTCTCAAAACATAAAATAAAATTAGCACCACAGAAAGATTTTTGGAGTATGCTATGTACTACACGTATTTTTGGTAAGAATGTCATAATTAGTGATAGGGATGAATTATGGAGTAGTTGGTGATTGGGTACTATCGTGCCGAGCGTCAATTTTTTTGGAATTAAGCGTTGGCAACATTTTTTTATAATCGTAATATATAAAATAGGGGGTATGTAGGAACGGCAATAAAACTTTACCTGAAGTGTTAAAATTCTAAATACGTCTTTCATTAGAGAGCTGGTTTATATGCATTTATAAATTTTGTTTGCGCTATTTTAAAGGGATCCAAGTTTATGAACATTTGTTGTTGGATTAAACAGAAGCGTAGAAATATTTCTTGTTTTAAGGACGGTGTATTCCCCTTAATCACTCTAACATTTAGATCACATTATGTTTTCAAGCCTGTTAATAAAAATGTGTACTGGCAATGATGTGTTTGGAATAATTTTACAAAATGTATAAATGCATAAAAATCCATTCCTTTTTTCATTAAAGAAAATAGTACTAATGATTCCAGTCTTTCTAACCGGACTACTCTTGATAATGTTATGATTGGAGTTTCAAATTAGTTAAAATAATATGTACTTAAATTAAATGTATGGCAGGTCAAACTACATTTTGAGATAATTAAAGGATTATTTAATGCAGCCTAAAATTTTAAAGTAGAGAGAGAATCTTTTAATACACTTAACTCATTTTATACTTAAATAATACCAGGTTTATCGTTTGGGTACTCATATATTACCTGAACAAGATAAGATAAAATAACATTTTATTTACTCTTTGGCTAACTAAAAATTACTCACACACACACACACACACATATATATATATAAAATGAGCACAATTTTTACTATAAATTAAAATCACTCAAATATTTATTAACTATTGAACAAAAAGACCTTAATTTTGATACTCTAACATATCTGCTTAAATTTTAGTAACCTCTTATAAGATAAAAAAAAAACATGTCATTTAATAAAATAGATGATTTATTAAAAATAAATGCATAATACTTGAATAATACAGCTAAATCATTAACTAGTATTAAAAATATAATATAGACAAAATATATAAAATATTATTAATAATAGATAGTATTGGACGTATATGTTAATGGCTTCATATAACATTATTTTAATATTATATAGGAAGTAAATTTTTTTAATAAAATACTGATTAAATTCATGTACAACATTAATGATTGTATTATATAACTTTCTTTGTTTATTTAATTTTCGAAACTTCATGAAGATAGGCAGCCATCAATTTAGTCTGTAACAATATATAAAAAAATTAATAAAAAATGAATTATAGTTAATATGATAACATTCAATTATTACAACTGATAAATATATAAAAAATTAATCAGCATAAATAATAATTATAAAATACTTAAGAAAATTATTATTCATAAAATATTTTATACTTACTCCTTCAATATAATTACGCACATCTATTTTTTCATTTTGAGAATGTGCACCATCATCACCAGCACCCATAGGTAAAAGTAAAACATTTTTACCAGTTACTTCCTAAAATTAAATTAACAAATATAAATAATATTCTTAAATAAATTAAGATTAATGGATTAAAAATTTAATATTGTATATAATTAAAATTAATTAAACTAATATTTCCAAAAACAAAAAAAAAAACTAAATAGTCATTATCGGTTGTTTTATTCATTAAAATTTTATATGAGATTAATTAAAATAATTAATTATATTACATGTGGAACTTGTGACTTAATATATTCTAATTAGGTTATGTTATTGATAAAAATAAATACTTGTAAAGTCAATGTTACTGGGATTGAACCACCTCCTCGTGTATAATCAGGCTCAATACTGTATACCATTTCAGTAGCATTATGAGCAGCTAAATAATGTGCATTAAAAGGGTCAGTCATCCATGGATTTCCACCATCGCCTTCAGTTATAATCTGGAAATAAAAATATTAATTACATATAATTTTAGATATGAAAACTCTTAATAATTAAAATTAAAATTTAATTTGTAAATATTCTTTGATCTTTTGTTTTTAAATAATATAATATATTACATTAAGTTTATTAGGACTTTGGCGATCTTCCCAGATTTTATTTATGTATGCTTTAGCTATTTGAGCAATTCTAGAAGGATCTTGATTGGGTACTAATCTAATAGAAAATTTTCCAATCACTTTACGAGGTATAACTGTTTTGAATCCTGAACCTGAAAAAGCACCTTCTATTCCATGGATGGAAAGACTTGGATATCGCCAATTACTCATTAATAGTTCTTCCTAAAAATAAGGCTAATTAAATATTAACATAGGTTTAGATAGACGTAAGATAAGATTATATGTTAAAAGAATATATTTTATTCCATATATGGCTTATATTTTTGGAATGCAATTTAACAAAAATGATATAGTTTATTTTAATTGTTTGGGATTTACATAACATTTTTTTTTAATCAATTGTAGTGCTAAAATTTTTAACTTTATATAAAATAAAATCATTATTTATTATGTTATATTTTAAGTGTACAGAATGATTTATTTATTATTGACAACTAGTATTCACCTAAAATAATATTAATTATAAAAAACTAAATTCAGCTTTATTATGTAATATTAATCTTTACAAAAACATAACTGTGAAATGTTCGTATTATAAAGTTCTAGTATAACTCTCTTAAAAAAAAAAAGTATGCCTATCAAAGTAGTGATATTTACATTGTGGCCAAGTCAGCTTACATCTGTTAATTTATAAGCTCACTTCACATGAACTTACATGAGCATCACTGCCCTTTTATTTGTATTGTTTAATACTTAGCCAATTTTTGAATGAATGCTGGGTTTAGAAACTCCCTAAAGTAGCTTTTAAATTAAGAAAATTACTAATTTCAGATTTTCTTCTTTAATTACACAGTAAAACCTATGACAGATTTCATGTTTCTACATAAATGGGAGTTGTCATATAATTTTGATGATAAATAAATGATTAATTAAATTGGAAATTTTAGAAGGTTTCTATTTTGAAAAAACTCATTATTAAAAGTTTATTTTTTTACAGCATAAAAGCGGCTAGAACTTTATCTAATTTTTAAATTTCAAAAGTCTATCTTATTATTGTACATATACAAAGTAATTTAAATTTGGTTTGACACTCATTTTTCCAGAAACTTCTAAGATTTTTTTATTTTTGTAATTTAAAAAATATTAATTTAAATATTTAAAAAAATTTTTTTTTTATTTTATGTCATTTTTAGTTTCTTAAACCTAATTGGTCTCACATACTTTAGTTTCTTTTAATGGTTTATATGCTCCAATTTCATTACAATAATGATCAACATCAAACTTGATTTTATTGTACAACTCTTTTTCTTTTTCAGATAATGGTTCTACACCTTCATTTATGCCCGGTATCAAAATATTTCCTTTAATATCTACTAATTGACTTAAAACATAGATTAAATCTGACATTGCTTCATATCTATAAAAAAAAAATTGATAGTTGTAAAGTATTTATTTTTACATGTTATATTAATTTTAAATCTAAATTAAATCACTAGATTTTAATCAACAATCTAAACTTACACAATACCACCAAACATTCCACTGTGTAAGTCTTTACTAGAACCTTCAATTTCAATACCAAAACAACACATTCCACGAAGACCATAGGTTAAACATGGTTTTTCTGTTCCCAACCAATAACTGTCAGATATACATACAAAGTCCACATCATTGAAAAATGTTTCTTTCTGTTTCATTAGTAATTTATCTAAACCGATACTACCTGATTCTTCCATACCTTCAAATACAAACTATAAAATTGATTAATTTCACAAAACATTAAAAACATAGATTAATATTACATTATTACTTTTAAATTAACTGGTAACTCTGATCCAGTATTTTGAAATGCTTCAATAGCATGTAACCATCCAAGGACGGGTCCTTTATCATCAGTAGATCCTCTACCAAATAACTTATCATCTCGTTCTGTTAATACAAATGGTTCAGTAGCCCAACCATCTGATTTATCAGCTGGTTGAACATCTAAATGCCCATATAAACAAACTGTAGTTTTTTTTGGATTTTTTCCTAAACTACCAAGTAATACTGGGGGTAATGGTACATTTTTACCATCTAATACCTACATAATTATTAGTCAATAAATTAAAAATTCTTTTAATTTAAACAAATCATTTATATAATTTTTAATTCAAACCTGTGATCCGATATCACAGAGCTCAACTACTGCTCCAAGGGCTAATAATTTTGTTTTAGCCCATTCCATCATTTTGAAAACTTCATTTCTCAAAGTAGGATCAGCTGAGACAGACTTTATAGCAACAGCTTGAGATAAAGTCTCCACAAATTTTCCTTTGTTTTCATCTATATAGCTTGAATTTTAAATAAAATCATTTTTTTTTTTACTATTTAATTTTATTATTAAACATATATTCTCACTAGTCCAAGAGAAAACTTTTTAATACTAAAATAATAATTTTTATACTGTACATATAATAGCTACATTTTTGCAGTTCATACTGACATTTTTAAATCATATTCAATAAGTATACATAGGTTTAAATCAATTATAAAAAAATTATCTTATATAGGTACATTAATATCAAAGAAACCAGAAAACATGTGTTTTTTTAAATAACTTCAGTAGCCACACCTTAACTCATTGTTGTTTGTATAATATATTATTCATTATATTATAAATTAATGAGTTTATAGATTATAAATCTTAGTGCATTTTGTAAAATACAAATAATGATAATTGAATAATTAATCTAAATCAAACATACATTTAATTTTAGATTAAAGCAAAATAATTAAAACAAAGGTCACTTATATATAAAATTTTGTTCAATAGTTAAATCAATTAAATTAAAATGACTTAATCAATTATTTATTGCTCAAATTATCATATAATTTAACTTAACATAATAAAACATAGGTATCATTAAAGAACTAAAAGTATTTTTTTATTATTATATTACATACCTAAAAACTTTAGCTAAAGGAGCTTCAATATCTTTGGTTACTTTAGACATTTTCAATTTTTTTGTTCTTAGCAAAAAAAATTATTAAAGTGTAAAAAATTAATTATCAATAACTAAAAATTATAAACGTACGTTGCGAACTACAACCGCCTACTCAGTAACTTCAACTAATCAGTAAGGGGAGAAAGGTAATCATAACTATCTTTCTACTACTTCTGATAGGTATGTGTGATACGAATAATTACAAATACGATAACGATAACTTTTTTCTATAGTTTACACATATGCTAAAACATTAATGCGTATTCAAAATTGTACCAAGTTGTTAATGATAGTGATAGTATTAAAATGTTGATCAGAAAATTATTTCTAGTTATAATTAACAAATCCACTGGAATTTATTATAGAATAGTATATCTCAACTTAGATATAAGTCTTTTACTCGAGAGAATAGTTTTATTTTTGGCTGATTTAACGGTATAAAATATTATAATAATTACAATAATTTTAATTAAGTCAAATACAATGGAGTATTGAAGGTTTCAATTTGGCGCAGTTTATATTTAAAACTTCTATAAAAATTTTTGCTGTGCAAAAATAAAAATATTTTTCTAGCATACCTCGAAAAAAAATGTCTAGCTTAAAAAAAATAGAATAGGCCTATACACCAGAACATAAATTATAAATAACAGTACATACATTTTTACCCGAGTTTTATCGTGTTAATTTACTTTTATATCACTGACTACTAAAAAATCACGATGCCCCCATTTTCGACAATAGGCAATTANTTTTTTTTAATAATTATCATATTTCAAAGAAAAATTCCTTAATTATCACTGACCACTAAAAAATCACGATGCCCCCATTTTCGACAATAGGCAATTATCACATACGATTTATTTTGTATGAAATAAATTTTATTTTNAATATCACTGACTACTAAAAAATCACGATGCCCCCATTTTCGACAATAGGCAATTATCACATACGATTTATTTTGTATGAAATAAATTTTATTTTAGCGTTAGCTAACTAAATCATTATAATAATTTTCAAGGAATTTTTCTCATAGTAAGTATTATATTTTGAATTTTTTCGACATGTTAATTACGTACAATTCTAGATCATAGATGATATGTTTTATTTTCTAGCTTTACCGCTATAGAATTATCCAAAAATGACTAATTAAGAATGAAATTATTGAACAGGTACAAGTAAACACTTAGTAATAAGTGGATAATAATTAACAAATTCGAGGTTTAAGAAAACACATTTATTAAGAATTAAGAAGTAGCATGAAATGACAACTAGTAACTTCAATAACTTTAGATAGTTAATTATTTTTAAAATGATACTTTTAATTTAAATATTTGTTAATAACAGTTAAAAGATAATGTGTTTTAAGTAACACATTGTTATAATACCAAAAACATTAATATAATGTATTAAATTTCTTCTAAGAAAATAGCTTTTAAATAATGACTTATTTTTAAAAATTAATTGATCGGTTAGTGAATTATTAATAATTAAGTATGAAACTATATTATTTACAACTATACATAAGCTATTACTAATAATTGCCATAGATAAGCTGTTATATTCGATAAAAGATTTAAAGTGTAATTATACAATGACCTATTTAATTTGAATGATCTCTAGGGCAACTCATTAATGACATTTGATAAAATAATTAAACATCAATAATTTTTTGTAATATATTATACAATGTACTGATAATTTTTTTAGGCTATTACTTAATATCATTAATCATAAATGCGTATAAGATGAATACTCACTAGAATTTAAGCAATTTGGCATTTTTAGCCTATTCACGACTATAGATTTGATTCAATTCTGTAACTATTTTCCAAAAGTTTATAAGTCAACTTTAGCAATTTTCCAGAAAAGATAAAACAAGTTTAAAAATGTAATGGTATTTTATTCAAATTGACATTTTTGAAGTGCAATACTTATTGTTACTTTTAAAATAGACGTACCATATTTTGTATGAAAAAATATTTAAATATATGAATAATTCTAAAATCGGTATTTTGTGATTTGTCAAGTTTTGTATGCAAAACCACAAATTTACAATATTTTATGTATAATAGGAATATCCTGCTGTTCATTATTACTTACGCAACAAATGTATAACCAACGACTTCACGTTGTTGTTGAAATAATCAAAAACAGTTCATAAGTATAGTGGTAATCTTTATATTTGGTCTGTTCCTGTGAGATTGTTCGGAGAGGCAATTGTTCCCGGCGGTAATTTTTGCAAATATCGTCCTACTTAGAATAATATATTTTCACCATAAAACAAAACTTGAAAAAGTCTCTTAATCGTCAATACTTATACTATACTATACTATACTATACTATACTTCACGTATTATGTACTCTAACTCTAAATACACACGTATAAAAAGTATTACAAAGTAACAATCAAACGGAACCAATTATTTACTAATTATAAGTTAACTAATGAATGGTCAAGTAATATCGAGTATATATAAAGTTTTATAAGTAATTACTTCCTAAAGTTATTATTTTTCTTCAAGAATATTATATACCCGTTGTGTCCTTCATTGAAAAATTCCAATATGATTAGACATTTATCAATTCCTATGAAATGTAAGTAAATTTTTTTTATACAACCTACGTAAATTCTTATTATTAAATTTATAGTTATAAAAATTCACGGGTTTATTTTTTTGGTTATTTAAGAAAACGATTTTTTTCCGAAAATAACAAAAAGTATATTCCAAGTACGAGTACTTTCCTTCGATTTTTATTATCTAGTGATATTGGGGAATACTAAATAATACATTATGCAAATAATTGGTTTATTTTAATATAAAACATTGCATCATAGTTATAAAGTTTTGATTATTTTGAGTTAAAATACCGTACTTTATTTTATCTAAAAAACTGTTTTAAATAGACCTACAAAATGGAATGATCATTTAGTTGAACTATTTTATGTACCATAAGCAAATTATTTTCAAGTAAATCATCAAAAATACAATTTTAGTAATACAAAATTGTTTTCTTTTAGGTACTGTAATCACATGTTTATGTATTTTTAAATGTGTTCTTACTCAAAATCAAATACACAAAAGTAAAAACAATGGAAATAGTTTATCATCAATTCATTATAAATCAGACAATCCAAGTCAAGATCAATATTATTATACTGACACGTCAAACGAGAAAAATTATGAAGACATTAATTCACAATTTGTGTACAAAGGATCTACTCAAGGATACGTGAATATGGACGTAACTGATAGTTACAAAACAAATGAAGTCCATGGATCTACAGGAGTTGTACCTATCCAGTATGGAAATGCCGTTAAAAATTATGGCGAATCATCATCAGATTTAGCAGCTATTAATGGAGTAAAAATTGGATACCAAGATGGTCAATATGGATTTACTAGTGGTAAAAACGGAATAGGGAACGTACCTGGAGTTGATCAGAGTTTAGGAGGATTAAGTGGACCAGGTGTGCGAGTACCTTTTATCAGCGGATTAGGGCCAGGACCTTTAGCTGAAACAAGTCTATACAATCTATCGTTTGGCTATCCAAGGCCGTTTGGGATTACTGGATTATTAAGTTTATTTTTTGGACCAATTAGTCCATTTGGAAGATATTTTTCTTTTTGTAATTGGATAGTTTTAATTGGTCGAGCTATGAGAAGTATTTTTGAACCAATAATTGCTTTGAAACTGTTATTTTTTGTGCAATATCTATTCAGATCAACCATTTTGCCTCAGATAATTAATCTTATTAACATGCACGTAAAACATTATCATGGACGTTTAATTTATAAATATTTAGATTTTCAAAAACTAAATACTTGGTACACGATGTTAAATAATAGACTTTGTTTAAAGAGTTTAGTATGTGAAGCTGGAATTAAAGCGAGCGTAAATCCAACTGTACAGTCAATAAAACGGTAAGCAGTTTTACAGAGACGAATCTATTAAAAATAAAAGGGATTCCACCTCTTTCCAAATTTTATAGTCTTGTATTTGTTAAATTATAATCTAATCTGTGCCACTATAATGACTATAACTATATACTCAGAACGTATATTTAGTACTATTTTGACCCCATCCCAAAGAAATTTCTAAACACTTCCTATTTTTTTCATAAGTTCATTTTATCTTCTTCTTCTTCTTCTTCTTCCTCGCCTTAACCCAAACTACTTGGGGTCGGCCACACTTATCCTAAACTTCCACTTGACACGATCTCCCACATCAACCGTCCTCAAATCGCAATCAATAGCATCCCTCCATCACTTTTTTGGTCTGTCCCTACCTCTTCTTCTTTCAACATTCATTTCTATAACTGTTCTTGCAATTAAGTTCATTTATAAAATTCAATTATGTAAAAATAATGAATTTTAATTTTTTTAAATTTTTTATTCGCTTTATTTTAGGTTAGCTAAAGAAATTAGATCAAATAATGAATTAGTTAAAGTGTTCATGGACTCATTTTCTGGAAACTATTCTCAATGCCAACAAAATATATGTGAACAATAAAAATGCATTAATGAAAGTTTTCTATTTGTAAAGATGGTTAAATACGACGTATTACTTATACAATAGACAGAAGCTATTATTAGGACCCGTCTTGAAGATAAATGATTGGTGATATTCCACTACATTACTATAAAATATTTTATTATTTTAATACTTCTTTACTTTTACGAAAAAAAAAAGAAATAATTTGTAAAATTGTGTTCTTTAACTTTGAGACGGATTTGTAATTAGATATACTTCAATTATCTTGAATATGTAAATAGATTTGTATATAATTAAAGATTATTATTTGTACATATTTAAATTATAATACTTTGAAATCTATTCCTACTTTACTGGAATAGAACAAATTTTCTTGAGTGAAATTATAATTTATAAGAATTCTTTTTGTTTTAAGTGAAAGAAAACATTTAACAATATGAGTGTAAACATGGAGGGCTATGCCCTTCCAGAAATTTATAAAATTATATTAAAAGACATATTTTAGGGTAAAGTTATAAATAATACTAAAATATTTTGTGAATCCCCAAAATTTTAATTCTATATACGCCTATTGTTAATAATTCAGAGTTAAAGAAATGTTTTTGTATTTAAAGAATTTGATGTTAAACTATGATAAAACTACGTTTTAGAAATTTAAAAAAGTAGGTATTTTTTACATATATAGTTGTAATTCAATTATCTGGGGTAATGATGGGAGGAGCCCCATAGATAAATGAAAAGCACGATTGATCGAGACTTATTATTTATACATAATAAATTACATGCATGTACAAATACATAATGTTTAATATGTATATATGTTTGTATATTATCATATGAAGTTATCAGCAGTTGAAATATGAAATTTGTTGAAACCTAATAAAATCAAATATTTTTAGACGTATTATTATTGGTAATAATAACGCATAGGTGAGCAACACCTATTTAGGTGCTTCCACATTTAGGGAGCAGCATGTAGTTTTTTTTAGACATTAATTTTTTGGGGCGTTTCTGGTGAATGATTGTCAAAAAAATTATAGCTATAACTATGAAAATCGTAAAAAAAATTATAACACTCATGTCTATGAATGAAGGTATTTTTATACTTTAAATACATTTAGATGCTTTAGCATTGTTTTAGTAGCGCGTGTTGGTTTATTCATAAGATGTCCTTTTTTTAAAAATATAATTCTGTGGAAATGTTAGTCAAGTAGGAAGGCTTTATTTATTTGCTTAGGACGTATAATTCTTGAATACTTCTCTTTTTTGAGAAGAATGAGCATGTTTAATCGAGATCTTTCTGTATATAGATTATATTGAATTTGTATACTGCATGTCCTACCAGACAATTTTATTTCTTAATGGTTAATGTAATCATTTTCCCCTTGGATAAATTAACTTGTCATTATAATTTTGAACACGAACAGTTAAAATGACATTTTGGAAAATACAATGTATTCGTATTTTAACGTGTCACGTTATCTTGTATTTGTACTGATCCTCAAATATTAGTTAGGTTTGTAAAAATTTATTAATATCCATTTTAGTTTACTATGAGTTACCTAAATAAAAATATATTATAAAGGTTTCTCATAAATACTATTACTTAAAAGTACAATTAAAATTATATCTAAGTATACTGTAAAATGATGTTGTAAACGATTTTTGAAAATCAGCCAGTTTTTCGTGACTACTATTTAAAAAAATATTATCACAATGTAGGCGTGGTTTTTAGAACCTTATCAGATTTTCGTCTTCAATTTTTATTTGAATAAAAATTTTTATTTACATTTTACCTACAACTATTTAATATTGACAAAATTAACTCACTATGTAAGCGTGTAATAGTAAATATTTCAAATTTGAGTTATTACTTATTAAGTATGGCAGAAGAGGAGAAATTGTTCCCGTTACACGAATGTGTGTTTACTGGAGATGTTAAAGAATTTGCAAGAATGTTGAGGACTGAAGATTTGGCAAAAAAAGACAAACATGGTTTGTTGAGGCAACCTATTATTACGATATTATTTCCAACACAGATATAAATAATTAGTATTAATGGTTTTTGTTTTTGTTGTATTAGGTAACACAGCATTACATCTAGCCATCATGCTTGGACGCAAAGGTAAATAAAGAGCATACTTTTCTAATAATTAATTAAGTCCTAGGATTATATTACAGATAAATTAATAACATTTATAAAAATATTTTTTTAAATAAATTCCTCGATATATTCCTTCTTTTGTATTCTTTGACCATAGTGTTTAAAACAAAGCGTGACATTAAATTTTTATTTAACAATATAACAATGTAATCATAAAAGCTATTTTTAATTATATTGGTTCATTAATAATTTCATCAAATGTATTCAATTTACTATTGTCTTTATAGATATGGTTCATCTACTGCTTGCCCATAATGCTCCAGTTAAAGTAAAAAATTTGTGTGGGTGGACTCCTTTAGCAGAAGCTGTTAGTTATGGTGATCGTTTAACAAGTAAGCTTTATTTCCTATTTATTGAAGTAATTACTTCAATAAATAAATAATATACATTTACTCAAGTGAATGTTTTACCAAAATAATATAATTATAAATAATAATTAGTAATTTATCACAAAATGGATATATTTATTATTTAAATTAAATTAAAAGTTATATATATTTAACATTTTAGTGGTTGATGCTTTTAGAATTTTTATTTAAAATATTTTCCATTTTTAATTTTAATTATTTAACATTTTTAATGAAATTTCTCTTGATACTCTATTCGTGCTAATGTTCTATTATTTTGATGTAGAAATTAAAAAATAATAATAAATGAGTAATTCCAAGACTATAATTTTTACAAAAAATTACATATAAAATCCCTAATATATTCTTCTAACTATTATATTATGCTACCAAAGATTAAAATAATAGTAAGAGCACTGTCTTGAAAATAAAATATTTTCACTAAATAATAAATTTATGAAAAAGTGCTTCTTAGAAATAAGGTTTTTTATTGATAATATACAGTCTAATAAATATTATTTTATATTGTTATATGTATGAAAGTATTAGTATCAACTAATCTTTTATTAAAACTAAGATAGGTACCAAAAGTATCTAATTTAATCCTTCTTGCTAATTAAAATAAGTAATGTTTGTTTTATAATCATAATATTTATAATAGAGAGCAACGAGTTTATTTTTGATAGTAAATTTTTTTAATAACTAAAGCTATATAATTAGATAACTGTATTCTTTTATATATATATATATATATATATATGTATATCACTATCAATCAACTTCTTAGCTCATATACTTATTGTTTAACTTTGTAACAAATTTTATATTACTACAAAAAAAATTTCATATTTATTTTAAACTAATTTTTCTGAAATATTTTTTTTTCTTCTGATTGAAAAATTTTATTTTTAATGGCAGCTTTAAAAATAAGCAAAGTAGGTTTTTTATGACTAGTTTTTGTAATAACCAAAAGAAAGATAAAAAAGTCGTAGTAGTAAGGGGGATTATACATAAAGGATAATATTAAGATTAATATAATAATATTAAGAGTAATAATCTAACGGTTATTACTTAATAATTTTGTTAGTGTATTAAAACTACTCTTACCTGATATTCACTGATGTGATAGAATCTTGTGTGTAGATTTATGGTTGTTAAGAATATATTTAAAACTATAGTAGGTATGTTAATAAATGAGAATCGTATTTGGTTAACAGAAGCGTATTTATTATTGTAGAAAATGTTAATTATCTTCACAAATGTATATTTTAAGTTCAGTGTCAAAAGTTAAGTCTAAAAACAAACAGCAAAAAAGAATACGCACGAGTATGTTTGGAACTATTTTAAATTGATTAACTTGACATTGTAATGAGAAAAGTGGACAAAAAAGATGAAAAATTGACTGATTAGAAAAACAGTGTCTTCAGCCTTTATATAATGTACCACAAAAGTCATAAATAGGGATTGGGCGTCTTGAATGTGTCATACTTTTTATAGGCACATTCAGTCATCATTCCATATTTCAATAAACACAAAAGAATTATTATATTTTAATTTCCTTTTTTTAGTACTTTAGTGGTGCCTGGAAGACGGTTGCCAAAAGTCAATACCATATGTGTAATCGTGTTAGCATATTCTTTTCTGTGGTCTTAGAAATACAAGAGGTATTGATTCTATTAATATTCCAAAGTAGAATATTACATTTTTATTTGAAATTGAAATTTTATCAAAAATGTCATGATTGAATTTGTAATTTTTGCGGTTAAAATTGAACACAATCTAATGGTTTGTTAGTTAAATTTAGGAAAGGTCTACTTAAAATTGTCTACAGTTTTATAGAGGCGGCAGTGCCAAATCTTAAGTGTTCTAAGCTATCCTAGTTCACAGTTTAAAACATAGTAGTATTCATTACTAATTAAATTGTAACATTTTTTTAAGAGAAACCAAGAAGTCACTATATTTTATACATTGAAATTAATTGATTTTAAAGAAAAAATATTTTAATTTCTTCAAGGTTTTGAGTAAAGTATTTATCGAAATATATTAAGATTTTAAAATTTATTGATTTATTTAAAAATACATTAGTTTATTAATTAAAATAACAACTCAATTTCTTCTATTACAACACAAATCTTAAAAATTAAAAAATTGTAATATTTAATTTTAAGAGATGTTTCATTGACTAAGAGATGTTAATTGTGGCATTGAAACAAATAGTTCAGGTAAAATATCTTCTAATGCAAAGCATGCCATTTGAAATTCTATATCTTCATTATTAACAACTAATTCTTTCAAATTTCTCAATTTTTGAAGACCAGCAATTCCATTACATGATATTTGTTTACAATTAGAGATATCTAAATACTCTAAACTTGGCATTATACTTCCAATTAAATCTAAAGACCAATCATCTAAAACTGGATTGTTCCTTAGACTTAACCATTTCAGTTTGTATAATAATTTAAAATTTTCTAATCCTTCATAGTAAATACTTAAGTTTGATGCATCAATAGCGTCAACTCTATATGAGGCATCATATTTTTCTGGTAAATTTATACAATATTCTTCTTTTTTATTTTCCCATCTAATAAAATCCTTATGGTTGACAAACTTAACTGCACCACCACGATAAACTATAAAATGAGCTGCTGCTAAATCAGTACCAAGGGCTTTAACACGTTCAGGCACATATCGTTGACTATACTTTTTATACTCTACTTTTTTCTGTTCATACCACTTTCCTATACTTTTCATGCTCCAATCATAACTCATAATTCTAGATGGACTAAAATTCTGATCAGGTAATAGCCAATTTTTCAATGTATTTCCTTGTAGATCATTCTCATTATGCTTTGAATTCATTAGTCTATCGTAAAGCTTTTGTTTTTCATCTTCTGTAAAATTTTCTGAACCAGTTGAGAACTTTTTTTTTCCATAAAAAATTGAATATTTATTAGATGACAGTAATCTTCTTAAACTATTCATTTTTAAAAAATAAAGTATTGTGAATTGTTCTATTTATAATTCATGTTTGAGTACATATTATAGAAATTAATAAAAGCATTTTAAAATTTCATTTAAAATAAAAACTGGTAAAATATAAATTGGTAAATTTTACCAAAAATTATTCGATTATTAATTGTATTTTAACTTCATGTGTAAAATATATATTATCAATGCCATATTTTTTTAACTGATAACATTAACAGTGTAACCAGATAAAGTGAATTGAAAACTTGAATTGTTTCACACAGCTTAAATAAGTTTAATTCAATAAAAATTGAGTTTTTCTTTAATTCTCTTCGAATATATATAACTTATTTTTTCTCTGTTTTAGTAACATCATTATTAAAAAAAATAAAACATCAAGCAAGGGAACAAATTGAAGACAGACGACCTAATTTAGTATCTGCATTAAAGCAGGTAGGAGATTTTTATATGCAAATCAAATGGGATTTTCAAAGCTGGGGTATGTATAATTAATTACTAATCAAAATATAATTAAATAACATTTATTTTTAACTAAACTTAATGTGTAATTTTTTATTTTTATAGTACCATTAGTTTCACGAGTATTACCATCAGATCTTTGTCAGATTCATAAAAAAGGCACATCGTTTAGATTAGATACTACATTAGTAGACTTTGCTATGAACGATATGAAATGGGAACGTGGAGAAATAACATTTTTGTTTGATGGTGATGCTAAACCATCCCAATCTTTGACAGTTATGGATAATAAGGCTGGTGTCTATCAAAAAGTGCGGTATTTAGTAAGTTTTTTTTTGATTTATTATTATATTTTCAATGTTTACTAAACTTAATTATATAAATTATGGAGTCTGTTTTTTTTACTAATTTTCCTTACTTTATAGGAAACTGAAATGGAAATTGAAGATGAAGTTGATTTAATGATGAGTAATGATATAATGGCAGCTCAAATGTCAACTAAATCAATTACATTTTCTAGAGCTCAATCTGGTTGGATTTTTCGACAAGATAAAAAAGTACAATTTATTTGTTAATTATAAGATGATTCAAAAGTCATTATCTGAGTACAAATCAATTAAAATATAATTCAGATACATAAGTTTTTCAAGTTTTCAATAAATACATTTGATGATTTATTATAATAATTTGAGTCTAGTAGTTAGTGAATTATATTAATTTGTAATTGGATAAAAACTTTTGAATCACCATTAATTATTTTTTGTTATATGAAAATTGATGTATAAAAAAGTAGCTGAACAATGTTTAAATCAACTTAAATACAAAAATGAATAATCACTTTGACAAATAAATGTGTTAATTTTAAATTAGGAAACAATTGGGGATTTTAGTGCTGATTTTTACCATGTAAATGGTTTAGTATTGGAATCAAAAAAACGAAGGGAACATTTGTCAGAGGAAGACTTGCAAAAAAACAAAGCAATTCTTGATAGTCTTACTAAAGGAGGATGTTCAATAAACATTGATTGTAATGGAGAGGTAAAATGTTAAGAACTACAATATCCTAAGTAAAAATTTTTTAACATCTTATTTTATATATTAGCCAGTTAGGAGGGAATCACTTCCTCCACCTAAACCATCATTATGTACTTGGCAAGAATATTTAGATACTCCAGCTGGCCAACCTCCAAATTTAGCTAGAGAAATGACTTGTAAGAATTCATCTAAAGGTTTTAAAGCAACTGTAGCAATGGTAAGTAGTTTAATTAAATAGTTAGTTGTTTAGTTAATTAAAACAAATAAATCTCAGTATATAAAAATCACATATTGTAAAATAAAAAAAAAGTAGTTTAAGTAAAATTTTCAAATGGTTTTTATTTTATTAATATTTTTACTTTAATTTTGAATCTACTTATATAAATTAAAATTTTCTGTAAGTCAACACACCATACTAATGTTCTTGTAGATCTATGTAAAAAAAATTTATTTATTTACTAAAAAAATTGTGGTTATAAGATATGTGATTTTGCAATTGCAAAAAATTCATTACTTTATATGATTACTATTAGTCTAATTTTTCAATAGAGCAATGATTTTCCATTATCAGTGGATATGCTTATGGATGTACTTGAAGTTATTGCTCCATTTAAGCATTTTGCTAAATTACGTGATTTTGTCAATTTACGTTTACCACCAGGATTTCCAGTAAAACTAGGTAATGCTATATACTTAATAAATTTATTATTTATAGTGAAAATTTAAAATTAAAATTTTTTAAAATTGATTATTAAATTATTAATAATTAAATTCATTCTTTTTATTTGAAATAGATATTCCTATACTACCAACAGTATCTGCAAAAATTACATTCCAAGCATTTGAATTTCGAAATGATATAGATTCAGAACTCTTTGAAGTGCCATCAAATTATGTAGAGGATCCATCCAGGTTTCCTGACTTATGACGACCTGGTGACAAATCATTGACTCAACTTACTATGCATCCTGTGATTGATGTGTGTTGTTACATACATAATAAAAACTAGGCATTGATTACTCTCCTTCAAGTCCTTTATTATTTTGTGTTAAATCTAAAAGGCTTAAGAATTATGACAATGTTGATAATTAACTTCTTCCAATTTCTTTTGTAAAATCTTTATTAATCTTACCAATTGTAATTGCACTGAAAACTGTATTTATTGTTTATAGTTACGTAAAATAACTGATATTTATAAAATTATAGTTTAAATTTGATCCATCCTTTAATGTTTAAGTCTTTCATGTATAATTGTATTTGTTATTGCTAGTATTTTTTTTTTTTGTACTCTTGATGCATTTTTTTAGTATGTAATTTATCTTAGTACGGCAAAAAGTATTAATTAAACTAAAACCATGTTACAGTATTTCTATTAAATGTATTCTTTTCTGCAGTTTTACAATGTTGCTGAAAAATTGTTTTTGTTTGTTTTAGTTGTATTAAGAAATTTTTTTAAGTTAAAAAATTATTTGTAAATGTATTGTTTGTTGAAATACACTCCCATCTATTTTCTTATTTAGGTATTGTACACAAATTTTGTTTTTTATAACAACTATTACAATAAATCTATACTTATAATTTATAAATTATTTTTATTATATTATTTAAAAATATAAGAAATTAAGAGATTTTTCTTTTAGTGGAAGCTGTATTGACCCTTTATGAGAGATAGAAGTGAAAAAAACCCAGCACAGTGGGGTCGCGGCTCAGTGGGAACGTGCCATAGTTAAGTCAAGTATAATGATATCTGACAGTGATTAAAATCACTATCATAAAAAACGCTTCGATGCAAATCTGTAGATAATGTTTAATTCTAAAAAATTGATTGATTATTCCAAAAGCTACATGATCTCCTATTTCCTTATTTATATCCTGATTACAAGTTTTATAATTTATAAGTGTAATATATAAAGGGTAATGGTTTTATTTAAAAACAAAGTTGCCGTCTTAGAAACTGTACGTCGCATTCATCACTTAATAAAAATGGTAATTTAGCTAGTTCAAATTTTAAAGTTATTTTTCTCGACTTGAAAGAAACAAAAAAATTAAAATATGTTTAACTTTTTATAATATGTCAATTAGATTGGTATAATATTTATGAAAATCAGTGTACTTCCCTTGTCATGTATTTTAAAATAAAATAAAATACAAAACCAAGAATTTTAACACAAAAATAGCATTTGGTAGCCATTTTCACCGTGAAGACAAAATAAAGTCCGCAATTTTTTTTTCCATAATAAAGTATATTATATAAGATTTAATTTAATATATATATATATAAGTGTTAGACTTTCCAGAACACTTTCAAAAGTTAAGTTGAAAAAGTTCTACTTTTTAGATGCATTTTTTAGTTTTGAACACCCGTGTATATCAGGATTAGTCCGATTAGAAAAAAAAGTATGTCAAATGAAAGATGTATATAAATAGTACTTGTCATGAAAAAATTGTATTGATAATTGTATTAAGTAAAAAAAACACAGCACAGGGGGGTCGCGACACAGTGGTGACGTGGCATAGTTGGATCAAGTATAATGATAGAGTATAATTAAAATCACTATAAAAAAAAAACGCTTCGTTGCAAATCTTTAGATAGTGTTTAATTTTAAAAAATTGGTGTATTATTCAAAAGCTATATGATCTGCTAGTTCCTTATTAATATCTTGATTAAGATAAATTATGTCGAATAAAAAAGGGATTATTAAAAAATATTATTTCTCATAAAAAAATTGTATTGATCCATACACTTTTCAATAAGTTATAGCATTATAAAGTTAAAAATGTAAAATACAAAATCGATAATTTTCACACAAAATGAGCAATTGGTAGCCATTTTAACCGTGAAGATAAAATAAAGNTAACACAAAAATAGCATATGGTAGCCATTTTAACCGTGAAGAAAAAATAAAGTCCGAAATTTTTTTTTCCATGATAAAGTATATTACATTAGCTTTAATTTAAGATATATATAAAGTATCAGACTTTCCGGAACATTTTCAAAAGTTAAGTTAAAAAAGTTAATTTTTTGTGAAAAAGTTGTCATTTTAAATCCCCCCTTGTAGGCAGATATAGTGTCAAATTTACATAAAAAATATACCAAATGATAGGTAAAGACATCAAGCATCTATAAAAAAAAATTATATTGATATGTTTATTTTTGAAAAAGTTACGGCAGTTTTTAGTAAAAAAAATTTCGAAAATTTCGAAAATTAGCGATTTTTAAATTTGTAATTTTTTTGGAGGTTTACCCCATTTACGTGGAACGAGGGAAATTTTTTCAATTTTTGAGGGTAATGTCTTCGACTAGATACGATTTGTGGTCTTTTGACGTATCATTGAAAGAAATCGGTCCGGTGAGAGCTGAGAAAAAGTGCTAACAGACACACAAAAAAAAAAAAAAACACATCTTAGTAAAATTAATACCTTCTCAGTTTCGCTTCGAAACTAAAAAATTGATGGATTTAGTTAATGATAATTAAAAACAAATTCTCTCGAGAATATTTTTTCGTTGTATCACTAATCATAAAAACAAAAAAAAAATGATAAAGCATTTCATTATGTTACATTATTTATATTATTGAGATTAGAGAGCTATTGCATGCATAACAAGTGGCTTTGATATAGTGTTTAATGTGTGTAAAATCTCTCATGTAAAATTAAATTTCTACCCATGTTGTTAAATAGAGTTGATAAATACATAATTGCTCTAGGACACCATTGACAGCACAGAACTGCGTAGTATATTTCCATATTTATTTATATATTCGTAGGTCATTACTGACCGGCAGAGGATTTTTATGACCCTAGTTCTGTCGTCTTTTACCACGAATGGTAACTTCTGTCAATTAAACCATATAGACTTAAAAACTTCGAATTTCAAAAATAAGAAAATACATTTCGTTGACAAGAAATTTAGTTATTGGGAGTTGAGTTTTAACAAAAGTGACTCGTTTTAACCAATATTCTTTAACAAATTGTTGCTTAAAATATGACTGAGGAAAATACTCAAATGAGACAAAATTCTAATCTTCGGTGTTTTAATTGTGTAATTGTGAAATCAGTATATTACGTCTGTAATATGTACTATTTTCGCAAATTTAATTTTTAAATAATGTTTTAAATGCAAAAGCATTTTTCAAAACATCATTTGACATGAAATAAATTCGAGATCATGCACAATAAGGCTTTACGTGCATTTATAGTTAATATATTTTATAAATACTCATGTACGAAAAAAAATAATATTTAAAATTCTTTTTAAAATCTAAATGTATTACATCGCTCATTAAACGTTGCTTTACTTTTGTCGACAGATCAAAAAGTAGGTACAAGTTTTATACATAAAATCATAATGAATAATAATCAACGTTTTACATTTTATTATTTTTTTATTTTTTACTATCTATTACATGATATAATTGTTACTAGTATTAATTATAGTTACAAATACTAATAATTGAAATATGTGAATATTCCCCTAGTAATTAAAACTTCTGAAATTTTTAAATGTAGTAATAATCAATGTTCTTAAATTTACTTTTACAGATATTACAAGTATTTTTAAAAAGAATATTAATATAAAATTTATTGGATTGTTCAAAAAAAATTGGCTTATACAAAAATCATTTAAGCTTTAACGAATTTATGTAAAAGTGATTTATATTATTATAACAAATATGCAAAGACTCCCTTTAGCAACTTTGGTATTAATCTTGACGTTAAGAATAACATTTTCATTAGAATTCAAAAGTAAGTCTCGTGTTTAATTGAAAAAAAATATATTTTTCAAATGCTTAATTAATTCAAAGTAATATCTATAAACAATACTATAAAACCACTCTTTAATATATGTATCGACTTAAGATTAAATTTTACAAAATATTTTTCTGAATAAAAGCTTTTGAAAAAGTACAACTATAATAAAAAGAATAAAACTACCATATTTTATTTATGATAATTATAAGTTGTTTTAATGTTTGCAGATGAAGATGAAACTGTATGTACTTCAGTATGTAATGAAGGTTAGAAAACAAAAAATTTATTTAATTTAATAAATTTTGCTGAGAAAAATCATTAGTATCGAATTGTAATTATATTTTAATTTTATTGATACAGGAGCCGACACCGTCACATATGTGCATTTTGAACCTAATAAAATATACTATTATGATTTTGACGGTAAAACTACAATCGTCACCCCTACAAATAGTCAGTACAATTCATCAACGATCGTAATCAAAGGAAAAGTACAAATAATGGGAGTGGACAATTGTGGAGCAATACTTAATTTGAGTGACATTGAAATTCAGGAAGGGATGAAGGTTAGTAAAACTAATTAGCCGAGTTGTTCCTTATTAATTTATAAATTATGTCGCACTCATTTAAAATTAATAAATATTTAATCTCTGTAAAATTTTCTATAATTATATTTTAAATTATTTATAATTAACTAACACAGATATTTTTATTTAAATTTAATGCAAAACATTTAAATTTCCCAATGAATGACACTTAATGATTTTATATGAAAAATAATAATAATATAGTAGGACTTAATTTACATTTTTCCTTCATTGTTAAAACTACTTACTATAATTGTTATAATCAGATTTAAAAACTTTTTAGTTTAAAACTCAGTGGTGTTCATTCAGTGTTATATTTATAATGTATTCATTGGCTATGTTACTTTATAATGTAATTTAGAAAAAATGGAGGTGTTCAGACTTCTTGCACCACTCTGAATATAATTCTGTTTCTTTGGGCTTTCAATTTTAAGAGCTATTTTAATATATAACTTTAATAGAAATTTTTACATTTTAAACAAGTTTGCATTATATTTGTAATTTTTACCAAAAAGGACATTAAACAAACAAAATTATCTATTTATTTTTATATTTTTATTTTGATATATTATTTATAGAGCAGACTTTCGTTTTACATATTTACATAAGCTACTACAACATTTGTATAATAAAATTTTGATAGCCGAAGATGGGATCATTTTTAAATCTATTATAGTTACATTATAAAATTATAATACTTCACAATTATTTTTAATTATATTTTCAATAATAAATTTAAATATTTCCAGTTAATTAGGCCTGTATATATTCGTTTAAAAATGCGCCACGTCTCCATGAATAAGTTCCAAAGTTTAACGAATTATTTATGTTTTCACATCTTCCCTAATCTAATCAATAAAACTCTTATTCAAGAGGATGTTGAGTATAAGTTAAAAAAAAATCGCCCAGGAGCATACAAAAACTTATAATAAATGTTATTATTGTGTGTACTTTATAATTTTTTAAACCCTAATTGGTGGTTGCTTTATAAAATAAATTTCAGATGTATAGTAATACAGACTTAGAAGGATCTCCAGTGTTATTTTCTTACAATAATGGAATAATTTCTCCAAATATTTGTACTTCGGATAATGAAAAAACGTCTTCGTTGAACATAAAACGAGGAATTATTTCTGCTTTACAAATTTCATTGTCACATGATATCGATTCAGAGTCAATTTTAGAGGTTTATTATTAATATTGCTAATTAAAATGTATAAAACTTATAAAAAGTTTGTTTATAGACCGATATATTAGGGACATGTTCTACTAAATACACATATTCAACAATATCTGGGAAATCCATGGTAACAAAGGAAAAAGATTTTACAAAATGTACTGAACACGAAACGGTTTTTATTTCTGATTGGTCAAAATTGCGACCAACAACGGTAAAAACATATGATTTTTCTTAAATGATTTCTTATGCTTCAAATATGATATTCATCAAAAAGCTGGTGTTTTTTAGAACTATAAAAATTCACCGTTCTCTAAAGCTCAGCAAAATGCAAAAATCATTATTGATGACTTTAGCATTTATTCAGTTTCTAGTAATGAAATTTATAACTATCAACCATTTGGTCAAATAGGTTCAACCACATTTATTACGGCTAATACTAGATTAATCTTGCAGCAAAAAAACTATATAACTGCAGGTTAGTGTTCTATTTTAACTAAAAAAGGAAGAAATTGTTATCACAACACATTATTCTAATACGTTTAACGACTATTATTTTAGGAGAAATTAATTTGCCAACTGTATCTCGATCGCTAATTTTTGAAAAACCTACTCCAAATATTGAACTGATAAATGAAGCTTTACTGGTAAAAGTTGCTGAAGAAGCTTCAGAAAATGTAGAACCAGTGATCAGTTATAATGGATCTAGGACATTCACTCATCTCGTAACCCTATTAAAGGATTCTACTAAGGAAGAAATTTTAGCTGCCTTTTCTCAATTAAAAAGTAGCACTAGAGTTAAAAATTCAAAAGTTATCAGGTGTGTAAAAAATTGTTACAATACAATTTGTTTTAATTACAAAAAAAAAAAATTAATACATTTTTATTTACAAATAAATTTTATATTTTTAGATCTATTTTCGTAGAAGCGTTGATTTTAACAAATAGTGGTTCATCGATTGAAGCTGTTGCTACTTTAGTAAAACGTAATGAAATTAGCGATATGATGGCAGCTTCATGGTTTATTAGATTAGGAAATGTTAACAATCCTACGTTATCTTCTATAGTCATAGTGTCGGTAAATATAATTATGAGTTGTGTTGTCAAAACTGTATTTTATCAACTTAACCTTTACTTTTAAAAATGCGTTTCATCAAAAACATATTAAAGTAGTATCGCGTTGTATAAATTTCTTGGCATGCCTTGAAAATAGGAACACAAATAATAATTTTTCTAAAAATAGGGTCATGAGATTAATGATGATATGATTATAGAAAAATGTTTTCTGATGGTTGCTAAAAGATGATAAATTGATTTTAAAGGATGATTTAGTTTCAATATTTTTTATTTTTTTTATAACGTGGTAGTGCTTGATGTATATTATCTCAAGTTTGAAAATAAGATACAGGCGGCTACGTTTGTGGTCTTTCTCTATTTTATATTTAAAAATATTGATAGCTTTTCAATTACTAAAAACATGTTTTATTTCAAAAATCATTTTCAAATACGATCATTTAAAAAATAAATAAATAGTTGACATCCTTAAAAGGTCTAAGGGATGAATTAAAAAAAAACTTAATAACTAATAAATGAAGAAATATATAAAATTAAAAAATAATATTAAAAATTTTCTTAATATAGTTATTATATTAAGAGAATACTAGTCGAAAATATTTAAAGAATCATCCTGTAACAACAACAACTAAAAACTTTTTATAATTTCTTCGTAAATATTAGATTATTAAATATCAATTTTATACTAAATTTAATTACTATAATATTTATTTGTTGAAACGTTGTACTTATAAATCATAAGTCTTGTAATTAGGATATAAATAAACAAGTAAGAGTTCTTGTTGCTTTTGGAATAATTCAATTCAATGATTCTTTTTATAAATTAAACCCTATAGATTTGCATGATGTGTTTTTATGATAGTGATTTTAATTACTGTGAGATATCATTTATACTTGACTGAACTATTACACGTCCTCATTGTGCCACGATCCCACTGTGTTGGGTTTTTTATATTTACTGTAAAACTCGTAAATCAATACTTTTAGGATGTCAAAAATAAATTAAACGAATCTTAGAAGTTTGTAGTTTTAATTATAAAATAAAATAATTCTTGATTAATAAAATCTTAGGACTTGCTCAATGGAAGAGTTCAAAAAGAAGCATATTTAGGAATAGGTTGTATGATAAGAAAATATTTAGCCTATACAAATCAATATGATAAACCTGAAATAGATCAGGCATTGAAAAATCTGGCAGGTCCTTTAGCACAAGCAGGCCAAATTAATATTTCTGCTAAAGATGAAGATCTAGCGATTGCTAGTCTTAAAGGAATTGGAAATATACAATATATGAGTGAAGATTTGACCAAATATATTGCAATGCTTATTGTTGGTGATCAAGTCAAGCCAAGAATTAAGGCAGCAGCTTTAGACATGGTTAAAACATATGCTCAGAATCCTTTGGTTAGTATTATTATACATTTGAAAAATAAAAAATAAAAATAGTTTTTTGAAATACTTTCACTTAGATTCAGGAAGCTTGTAAAATTATTTTTATAAATAAAATTAAAGATTCCGAGCTTAGAATTAAAGCTTTCTTAGTATTTGCATTATATCCAACATCTAATAAAGCCTCAATAATTAAGAATGTACTGGAAAGTAAAGACTCTATAAATCAACGTAAGTAAGATACTAATTATTAAAAAAAATTAAGATTATGGTGTTTAAGTTATTGTAGAAGTTAGATGAAAAATTATTTCTCGAGATATATTTATTTAAGAAAAAGCTTCAAATATTATTACATTATTGTAAGATGACTGTTTCTAATAATCTTAAAATATTTTATATGTTATAATACTAAATATCTTCTTTGCAGCAGTTCGAACATATATAATGAGCTATTTGAATAACCTTCAATCAACAAATGATGCACAAAAATTAGATCAAAAATCAATTTACGGAAGAATACAATATGAATCAAAGAATAAATCTTTTAATGACGTTCTACGGTTTTCTCAAAATTTTGAATTCTCACAAAAATGCTCAATGTTCAACAGCAAATTTATTGCAAACGGTGATGTTTTATATTCACAAAAGTAACTGCTGTTAATATTGAGTAGAAATGATACAACTAGTATTATATTTTTATACATTTTAATTTTAGATCTTTTGTACCACGTTCAACTTCATTTACGTTAAAAACTACTATTTTTGGTCATAGTTATGATGTACTAGAGGTATAATGGTTAAAAACAGAGAATTTATTAATTTTTATTAGCATTTTTGAATTATTAATTAAATTTCTCATAATAGATAAGTTATCGAGGTGATAATATGGAGCGTATTTTAGAATCTGTAGATGAACCCATAAGATATTTTTCAAAGAAAACTGCAGATTTACTAAAAGATGCAACAAAATATAATAATGTGAAAGTTTTAAATGAAAAATCAAAATATAGAGAGGTAATATATTATTGTTTTTATTATTTTATAGTTATTTTTACGAGTGTTAAAATAATTTACATATAATTTGACTATACTAGGATAAGGGGTAAAACGGGAATTTTTGGTTTCTCAATATCAAATTCTTGTCTTTTTAAAATCAAACAAATTTTCTGAAAATAACGGAAAATAGAGATTAAAGATCCCACGAAAAAAATTCTTGTTACCNGAAAATATCGGAAAATAGAGATTAAAGATCCCACGAAAAAAATTCTTGTTACCAATTCGCATATTTTTGAAAAATTAAAATAAAAAATCTTTTCTCTGAAAATTGTAGGTGAGCTCTGAAGAATCTTCTGAAAAATCAGATGAACCTGTTAATATAGATTTAGTCTTAAAAGTAATGGGTAGTGATATTAGTTGGTTTACTTTTCATGGTTTGAAAAATCAAGTTACATATCAAAGTTTAATTGATGAACTTAACAAACATTTTGATGACACTTTAGAAACAGCAAAAGACATTGACGTAAGTTTTTGTAAATAAAATTATGAGTTGTACTTTTATATTGATGTAAAAATTACTAAAAAACTTTAAATGCATTAATTTTTACTGTTTCAGTTCAATATTAGGAAGTTTATTCCTATTTTAGATAATGATTTAACTTATGCTACTATGACTGGTTTTCCTATCAACATGAAAATTCAAGCAAATTCTATTATTAAATTTAATATGAATGCTAATATTTTTATGAAAGACTATATAGAAAACCCTCAAAATTCAAAATTTGCATTACAATTCATACCAAGGTGAGACATTGTTACAAAATACGTTCTTTAATATGATTGAAATATTATTTATTATAGTGGATCAGTGGACTTTAATACAATGTTATCTGTGGATGGCTATGTAGTTGAGGTAGGGAATAAAATATCGTCTTCTGCTCATACATCTTCCGGGTCTAATTTTTTCCTGAGAACTGTCAAGGGTCGTGGAATTGAAATGGTCGTGGGTTTACCTTTACCTGAAATGGATTTATTGACATTTGAATCAGAGGCTTTTGCAACTTTACAAGAGTTAGGCGAACCACTTCAATATAAATCATTTTCGACTGATGTTAGAAAGTAATAAAATTTGATCATTTAATTTATTAGTTATAGAATTATAATTAAAAACTACTAATATTTAACTTATTTATAGACAATCCTTCTCGAGAAATTTTGAAAAATTTGGAAAATTAGCAGGATTATCACTTTATGTCGATTATAGTTTCTCATGGAATAGTAACTTTAAACTAATATCACCATACAATGGACGTATTTCAATGTCCGTTAAATTAAGAAAATTCGATCAAAGTTTAACAAATTATGTTTTACAAGCTTCTTATAATAATGTTTGTGAGTGATTTTATTTTAAATATTTAAAATTATTCTTAATATTCAATTCTTTAAATGTTCATAGTAATAAATCGAAGATCGGTTAAAATAACATTTAGTACACCAAACTCTGACATAAATCGTGATATAGAATTTGCAATGGGTTATGACATGTTGAAAAAAACTAAAATAATTGCCCACTTATTGACTTCATCAAAAAAAATTATTTTTACTGGGGAATTTGTGAATAAAAATGAAGAAAAATCAATCGAAATAAAATATTTAAGTGATTCAGAACACACCTTAGCTCTCGGAATTAAAGGTGAACAATTTGATGAGAATAAAATCAGCTATTCTCCAATTTTCAAAGTTGAATACAAAGATAAATTCAATTCCGAACCAAAATCTTATTTACCTAATTTGAACATTGAAGGAAACGTAATAATTGAACATAATACTACTAGCTGTTATAAGATTACACTAGAGGATTTGGCTGTAGTTGTATCAAAATTTAGGCCATCCTTAAAAGGGTCAATTATCCTTGAAGGCGATGAGTTTAATATGAATACTCAGGTGTCTCTTGTTACTCATAATATTACAACAAAAATCATGGCTCAAATATCAAATCCATTTTATAAACTTCACGTAAATTTTGATGTTGTACAAAACTCAAAATCAACCCAACTATTAAATAACGTTGAATCACGTAGTATAGCTTTGGGGAGTCCCATAAAAAAATTAAAAATGAGTTTTTCTTATCTATTGAGAATAGCAGAACCCTATAATATTAAAAGTAAAAATTACATTGAATGGAATGATTTTAATGGTGAAATAAATGGAAGATTATCTAAGAAAAATAAAAATTTTAGCTTAGACGGGGATGTTTATGTTGTTAATTTGTTAAATCATCAAGTTAATGGTAAGGGTATTTTTGTTTTTTAATTCTTGAATAGATATACAAAATATTATTTTTTTTTTTAGGGAAATTCCAAATTAAGTCAAGAAATCAAAATTCGGGAGCAACTGTTTTGGGATTTATATATCATATTCATGATAGCAATCCTGAAGATAAAAACTATATTAGTGTATCTTTCATTGAGGATTCTAACAATAAGAGTGGAGAGTTCGAATTTAATCTACAATGTCCAAGTGTTTTTGGAGTATATAAAATTAATTCAGATTATGAAGTCAGTAAAATTGTTTAATTTGTTTTTCAAAACTAATATTGTATTATTTAAGGTAAAAGATGATTCTTTCAAATTTAATGTTAACGGAACAATTCAAGATGAAACGAGATTTAAAGCTAATATTAAACTTCAACCTCGTAATGTGTACATTGATATTTCTCATAATTCATTTGGCAACAATACTATAATATTTGTACAATATTTATCAAAAAGTTCTAAGTCTACTGAGTTCCAAACAAAAGTATTTGCTTAATATTTTTAATAATTAAGAAACTATTTGAATATATGTATATATTATAAGATTTTATGGCCTGGTTCTGAAGATACAAACTATTTTATATCTACTGGAGAAATTAGTTTAGATGTTCTTAGAGGTAAGCTGAATGGATTTTTAGATTGCCCTGCTATGAGTTTGAAGAATGTTCAAATAAAAATAAAAAGTGAGCCTAATAATGGCTCAGATACAGATGGATTGGCTGTATTTGAGCTTACGTCCAATGAAAATATTTTGTATTCTGGAAAGTAAATAATATTTAATTAGAAAATGTGGTATTGATGTAACTAATACCTTTGTTTTTAATATAAGGTTAGAGTATACGATTTCCATAAAAAAATATAGTATTATTTTAAAAGGCGATGGTAATATAAATATTTCTCAAAATAGAAACTTGTCTGCAACGCTTGGATTTGTATTTAAAGATTATAACGATAAAAATAAAAATAATGGAAAAGAAGTATGGTTTTTAAATGTTAAAATCTAATACCAAATTTTAAAAATATTTGATAATTGTTAATGGAAAAATGTTTTAATAGATATCATATATTCTCATCATGCCCCATACAAATACGAAAGAAAAACGATCGTACCAAAGAACTTTGAAAATATCAAAACAAATGATAAGCTATGAGCAACTATACCAAAAAGGCGATCAAAAACAAATAATTATTTTTGACTTCGAGCATAATTTTAAAAGTATAGCAATTTGTTTTTTTTTTTTTGAAAATTAAATAATTGAAATATTATTTAGATTTAGGCGACTTTTCCTATAAGTTAACATCAGAAGTTAACACACCTAGTATATTCCATATGCTTCTTGATAACAATCAAAACAAAGCAGAATTAACTTCATCTATGATTGTTAAAAATAACATGTTGGATAAGAAACATTTAATCAAAATTTATTCTGGTGAAAATATTGATTATGAATACGAAATGAAACTTATGATCAATTCCGCTAAAGCAGGTTTGTATTAATTAATTTAAACTGTCAATTAAAATTTATGAGTAAAAATATGAATTCATTGACAAACTTTTGATACCGATATTGATTTTTTTATTATGATTATTATTAAATAATAATATTATTATTAAAATTTCTTGTTTCTGTACGTATCTAAAAGGGTAAAGTGATCTGCTTATATCTTACTTTAATTGTGCATTTTATTCGCAATTACTTATACAGAATGTTTCATTGTCTAAGAGACAACACTTATAACTTTTGATACAATTATCATTTTTTGTGATTTAACTTTGATGTGAAGTTGAGAAGGTATTAATTTTACTATTTTTTTTGTGTCTGTGTCACAGCTCTCACTGGGCCGATGTCTTTTAACGATATGTCAAAAGATTTTAAATCAGATCTAATTAAAGACATTACTCTTAAAAATTGAAAAAATGTCTCTCGTTTCCTATAAAAAAGGAAATCTCCTCTTTCAAATTGTAAAAAATTACGATTTGTAAAGTTGGTAAATATTTAAACTTTTTTTTCTTAAAATTGTCAAAACTTTTTTTAAATTAATCAATCAAAAAAGTTTTTTTTTATAATATCCTTAGTTATTTTTATTTTATTTGATATATATATATTTTAAATCTGACCCTTTACCTGCCTACAGGGGAAAAAAAGAGCAATTTTTAAAAATGTTACGAAAAAACTCCAAGCTTCAGACATATGTTAAATTAAAGATTATGTTACATACTCTAATTAAAAAAAAACCCACCACAGAGGAGTCGCGACACAGTGGTTACGTGGCATAGATGGATCAAGTATAATGATATCTGACAGTGATTAAAATCTCTATCATAAAAAACGCTTCGATGCAAATCTGTAGATAATGTTTAATTTTTAAAAAATTGGTGTATTATTCCAAAAGCTATATGATCTGCTAGTTCCTTATTAATATCTTGATTAAGATAAAGTATGTCGAATAAAAAAGGGATTATTAAAAAATATTATTTCTCATAAAAAAATTGTATTGATCCATACACTTTTCAATAAGTTATAGCATTATAAAGTTAAAAATGTAAAATACAAAATCGAAAATTTTCACACAAAATGAGCAATTGGTAGCCATTTTAACCGTGAAGATAAAATAAAGTCCGAAATTTTTTTTCCCATGATAAAGTATATTACATTAACTTTAATTTAAGATAGATATAAAAGTGTCAGACTTTCCGGAACACTTTAAAAAATTAAGTTGAAAAAGTAAATATTTTGTGAAAAAGTTGTCATTTTGAAGATCTCCTTGTAGGCAGATATAGTGTCAAATTTACATAAAAAATATACCAAATGATAGGTAAAGACATCAAGCATCTATAAAAAAAAAATATATTGATATATTTATTTTTGAAAAAGTTACGGCAGTTTTTAGTAAAAAAAATTGAACAAATTTTGAAAATTAGCGATTTTTAAATTTGTAATTTTTTTGGAGGTTTACCCAATTTACGGGGAACGAGTGAAATTTTTTCAATTTTTGAAGGTAATGTCTTTGACTAGATACGATTTGTGATCTTTTGACGTGTTATTGAAAGATATCGGTTCGGTAAGAGCTGAAAAAAAGTGGTAACAGACACAAAAAAATAAAAAAAAAACACATCATAGTAAAACCAATNCAAAAAAATAAAAAAAAAACACATCATAGTAAAACCAATACCTTCTCAGCTTCGCATTGAAGCTAAAAATATATATTGTCCCAACAACTGATCTTCTACGCACAAATGGTTGCCATAGTTAAAATACAAATTATTATTGTTTTAAAATTTTTGATTTCATATTTTATTTTTTCAAAATTATAATATACCAAAAAATATATGGATTTATACTTTTTTACTTTTAAATTTATATTTTCTTTTTATTTGATATTCTTTTTATTAAACCATTTCTCCTGAGAGAAAAAAAACTGCGTGTTAAAAACTTATAACATACATATAAAAGATAGAATTTTAGCTTCGATGCGAAGCTGAGAAGGTATTAATTTTACTATGATGTGTTTTTTTTTTTATTTTTTTATTTTTTTTTATTTTTTTTTTGTGTCTGTGAACGCTCAATCTCAGCTCTCGCTGGACCGATTTTGATGAACAATATGTCAAAAGATCACAAATCGTATCTAGTCGAAGACATTACCCTCAAAAATTGAAAAAAATTCCCTCGTTCCCCGTAAACGGGGGAAATCCCCCAAAAAATTACAAATTTAAAAATCGCTAATTTTCGATATTTTTTCAATTTTTTTTACTTAAAATTGCCATAACTTTTTTAAAAATGACCGAATCAATATAATTTTTTTTTTTATAGATACCTTAGATAATTACCTATCATTTTATATATTTTTGTGAACATTTGACCCTTTAACAGCCCAAAGGATGGGGTTTCAAAATGGTAACTTTTTTACAAAAAATTAACTTTTTCAACTTAACTTTTGAAAATGTTCCGGAAAGACTGACAATTTTATATATACCTTAAATTAAAGCTAATGTAATATACTTTAATTTGAAAAAAAAAAATTTGACCTCTGGACTTGTCTTCATGGTGAAAATGACTACCGTATGCAAAAATATGCTATTTTTGTGAAAAAATTCTTGATATTATATTTTACATTTTTTAACATTATGTTGCTATAACTTTTTAAAAAATGCATGAATCAACTTTATTCTTTAATGATAAATACTTTATATATACTTCTTTCATTCGACATACTTTTTTTTAAAATCGGACCATTTCCCTTTATACAGGGGGGGTGCAAACCTTTTAAAATGCGTATAGAAAGTAGAACTTTTTCAACTTAACTTTTGAAAATGTTCCGGAAAGACTGACACTTTTATATATATCTTAAATTAAAGCTTATGTAATATACTTTAATTTGAAAAAAAAAAATTTGACCTCTGGACTTGTCTTCGTGGTGAAAACGGACATCAAAGTTAAAGAAAAACGTACGATTTCCGTGAAAAAAATCTCGATTTTATATGTTATATTATTTAATTTATATTTTATATAACTTTTGGAAAAATGTATGGATCAATATTATTATTTTTTTATAATAAATATTTATATACCCCTTTCATCTGGCACGCTTTTTTTGTAAATCGGATCATACCCCTTTAACAAGGGGGGTCAAAACTTTAAACATGCGTATTGTTACTAAGATATTTTCAATTTAATTTTTGAAAGTATTCCGGAAATACTGACACTTTTAAATATATCTTAAATTAAAGCTTATGTAATATACTTTAATTTGAAAAAAAAAAATTTGACCTCTGGACTTGTCTTCGTGGTGAAAACGGACATCAAAGTTAAAGAAAAACGTACGATTTCCGTGAAAAAAATCTCGATTTTATATGTTATATTATTTAATTTATATTTTATATAACTTTTGGAAAAATGTATGGATCAATATTATTATTTTTTTATAATAAATATTTATATACCCCTTTCATCTGGCACGCTTTTTTTGTAAATCGGATCATACCCCTTTAACAAGGGGGGTCAAAACTTTAAACATGCGTATTGTTACTACGATATTTTCAATTTAATTTTTGAAAGTATTCCGGAAATACTGACACTTTTAAATATATCTTAAATTAAAGCTTATGTAATATACTTTAATGTGAAAAAAAAAAATTTGACCTCTGGATTTGTCTTCATGGTAAAAATGACTACCGTATGCAAAAATATGCTATTTTTGTGTTAAAATTCTGGGTTTTGTATTTTATTTTATTTTAAAATACCTGACAAGGGGAGTACAGATTTTCATAAATATTATATAAATTAAAATTGATATAGTATAGATAGTTAAACTTATTTAAATATGTTTGTTTCTTTTAAGTCGAGAAAAATAACTTTGAAATTTGAACTAGCTTAAATAGCCAATTTTTCAACCGCCGGAAGCAACGTACGGTTGCCGAGTTGGTAAAATTTATGTTTTACACGCTTGGGGTACGAGGTTCCAACCCGCATATGGCAATGAATTTTTTGCATTTTTTCTTAATTCTTTTTAAGTTAGTATAAATTTTAACTCGTTTGATTTTTATCACATTTAGATTCAATAACTTCAATAAAGATCAAGGATCCCATCACTTTAGTCGCCCCTTGCAAGAAGAAATTTCTTATTCGTATTAAAATTATTTTACTATATTTTAAGTTTTCGCTTCGATGCAAAGCCGAGAAGATATTTTTTTGTGACTATCATTTATTTTCTCTGCTCTAACTTGACCTACTTTTTTCAACAATACGTCAAATTACTACAATTCGTATCTAGTTGAAGATATTACTCTCAAAAATTGAAAAAAAAATTCTAATTTATCAATTAAACAGTTAGTTATTACATCGTCTCCATAAAGACAATTAAAATCATTAATTTCTAATGTTTTCAAAATATTTATTAACGAATGAAGTTTGATATGATAGGTTTCAACTACAAAATTAAATCATTTTACTTTGTAATTTAATAATTTTATTACTCTGTTTGTGTGTGCTACTATTAGACTATAATATTCAAATTTTTTTCTAACGTGTTGCTATATAAATCATTTCTAAAAAAAATGATTGTTTTTTCTCCTGAATTAACAATTGATTTTTACAAATATAATCAAATTTTATAATAAACTCAATTGAGTAAATCTTTTTAACAACTTTGTTTTGATTGGTACATTTAGTTAAAGTAAATCATTAAAATTAATTAAGTTCTCAATATTTCAATTATAGAATCTTTTCAACAAACAACAAAAGTTCCTAGGAAATTATTACTATTACTTCTATTTAAGTTATCTATTACCATAAAAATGCAAAAAAATATTGAGCTTTTCTGATAAATTTACAATAAATAGTAATTATAAAACTTTCTGACTGCATATTGATCTTAACGATACAATTTTTTTAATTGTCATAAAATTTTCTATTTAATTATGTCAATGTCAAACTTACCAATTGAGCTAAAAGTTATGGTAAAATAAATTTTTTTTTTTTTTTATAAACATTTACAACAATCAACTTTAAACGATTAACAAAATTGGTTAAATATGTCATTTTCCTTATTTTTAACTTATTAATAATCAAATTAATATTAAATATTATATCAAATCAGTATTAATTTAAAACAATTTTTTTTGTTCTTAATTATTTTTTTTTATATGTAAAAACTATTTTTTAATAATATTAAAACTTAGAAGTTATAGAAAAAGTCTAATTGCACATTTTAAAACATCGCGAAAAGTTGATTTAGAATAGTATATTTTTGTTTCTGATGGAAGTTCCTTGTAGTCCAGTGTATAAAACTTATAACTTTGTTAATTGTTATAACTTTATCAAAAATGACCAAATCAGTATATTTTTTTTTATTTAGATGCATGTCTTTATCTATCATTTGGTTTTTTTTATAAATCTAACCCTTTACCTGCCCACAAGAGGGATTCAAAATATTAACTTTTTTTTTTTTAGTTAAAGTAAATCATTAAAATTAATTCAGTTCTGGATATTTCAATAGTAGAATCTTTTTAAATATCAAAAATTACTTAGAAATGATTACTATGATTTCTATTTAAGTGTTCTATTACGATAAAAATGCAAAAAATAATGAGTTTTTCTGATAAATTTACAATAAATAATAATTATAAAACTTTCTGACTGCATATTAATCTTAAAAATAACATTGTTTTAATTCTCATAAAATTTTCTATTTAATGATTCATTCTAGTCAACGAAGGAGTAATTTTGCAGAATAGCAGAAAAAATTCCCAACAAACTTTTTTTTTTTTTGTTTTAATTAGGCAATTGGTGGATTATTCCAAAAGCAACATCAACTCTTATTTCTTTAATTATATCATGATTAGTAGTTCTTTGATTTTAAAATATAATATTTGAATATATACTAATTATAATTATTAAATTTAGTATGAAATTGATATTTAATATTGTAATTTAAACGGAGAAATTATAAAAATAATAAAGAAGTTATATTTTGCTTTACTTTTACGTGTATAAAAATTTAAAGGGCTTGATACAATAATTTTCAATAAAAACTGTTTGTTACTATAAAAAAATGCACTGGACTACAAGGAACTTTCATCAGAAGCAAAAATATACTTTTCTAAATCAACTTTTCGCGTTGTTTTCAAATCTGCAAGTAGACTATTTCTATCACTTCTAATTTTTTATATTATTACTAATTATATATATAAAATAATAATTAAAAGAAAAAAAAATTTGTTTTCAAATTATTACTGATTTGATTTTTAATATGTTAAAAATAATCAGTCCAAATTTTCAATTTTAACCTATTTTTTTGGTTCTTTAAAGTTGATGAAAAATTTTTGATAAAGATTTATGAAAGTTTATAGTAAAATAAATTGAATATATTACCATAACTTTTAGCTCAATTACAAGTTTAAAATTGACATCTAGGCCAGTCAACAAAGGAAAAATTGCGGAAAAAATTTTGTTTTTTTAAAAGTTGAATTAAAATATGTATAATGACATACTAATAGTCCTCAAGATTGGAATTGAGCTTTTTTTTTAAATCCTCGCAAAAGTTCAAAAATATGAGCTTTCTTAATTTTCTCAAAAAAAAATATTTAACTTACAAAAAAAAGTTTCGCACAAAAGTTGTTTAAAAGACAATTATAAATAAAAATATAATCTTATATTTTTTCATTTAAACAAATATTTTTCGAGTTACATTACATTTAATATGAGTAATAAAATTTATATTCCATTTTTTTCATTTTACGGTTACTTTTTATCATGTTATACTTACATTAGACACAATGTTATAAATGCATATGTGTGTATGTGTGAGTTTATTTATTTATTGTATCATTAAAGTGTAGTGTATATTGAGATACAACCGATAGAGTAGGTAATTGATTTGACGCTATATTATTTAAACCCAACTAAACGCTAAATTGTACATTCCGAAATAACAATCATATTATGTCAATTGCCACCGGAATATCTGGTAATATTTTTCTTTTTCTTTGCCTTAATCCCAACTACTTGGGGTCGGGCACCCTTATCCTAAGATTCCACTTGACACGATCTCCCACATCTTCTACGCTCACATCAGCTGTCCTCAAATCGCATTCAATAGCATCCCTCCATCTCTTTTTTGGTCTTCCTCTATCTCTTCTTCCTTCAACATTCATTTCTATAACTGTTCTTACAGCTTTCGATTCTTCTTTCCTCATACCATGACTAAACAATCTAAGTCTATTTTCTGTCATCTTATCCACGATTGACGCAACACCTATACTTCCTCTTATATGCTCGTTCCTTATCCTATCTTCTCTAGTCACTCCACTCATCCAACTAAGCATTCTCATCTCTGCTACACTTATTCTCTGCTCTACTTTCTTATCAACCGCCCAACACTATTAACCATACATCATAGCTGGCCTCACAATTTCATACTAAATTTAAAAACTATAATTAGTATTTATTCATATATTATATTTTAAAATCAAAGAACTACTAATCAGGATATAATTAAAGAAATAAGAGTTCATGTTGCTTTTAAAATATTTCACCAATTTCTCTAAAGGAAACACTATCTACAGATTTGCATCGAAGCGTTTCTTATGATAGTGATTTTAATCACTGTCAGATATCATCTATACTTATCTCATCTATGCCACGTCTATACTGTGCCTCGACCCCACTGTGCTACCGTTTTTTTTTTTCAACCTATCTTTTGAAAATGTTCCAAAAATACAGGAAAAAAATTTGTCCTGACACCTTATCTTTTTTGAGCAAATGACTGCCGTAGTTAAAAAACATACTTTTGTTTTTACATACATATTTAATTAGTTAATAAAATGAAAAATTATCTAAGGAATAGACTAATCGATAATAGTTATAACTATTTAAAAAAAATATTGTGTTGGTGAAGTGTGGGTTATGTTATTTTTATCATTCCGAAGTACTATTACAAAAATGGTTATTGATCAGTTATTTCTATAATAAAATCATTTTTTATTTTATTAGCTAGTTAAAATTACAATACAAAATGTTGAATATCAATTTCATACCAAATTTCATTTTTTCATAGTATGTATTTATTTATGTATTATACTTATAAGTCATAAAACTTGTAATCTGGATGTAATTAAGGAAATAGGAGTTGACGTTGTATATTATACCATATATTTAGTCAGTATAAATTTTTATTGACTTGAAAACTTAGTAATTTGTTGTTATCAAGGCTATAGTTTTGAGATGATTAGTGGGTATTATCTCCTCCTGAAACTAAAAATATTTTTACGTTACTGTATAATTCTATCACAAAGTTATATAAATTTGGAACCTACTGAAGTAGCTTAAACAAAATGTATTAATGTATATAATTCCTAGCCCTAATTATAAATGTTGCCAGTTAGGTTTGAAGCACTTAGTGTATTAAAAAATGCGTATTTTGTAATCGAATAAAAATAAAAATTAAATATATGTTAAAATATTGCAACTTTAAATATGTTAAAAATAAAAAATATTACCATAACATTATAATATTTATTATATATATAGTAATACATATTTGTATATCGTTATCATTACTAAAATAATAATTAGTAGCTAGTTAAGAATGTAACTAGAAATTGTCATTATAAGGTTTTTTTGTAGTATGTAATGATTGAGTTAATTGAAATTTAAAAAATTTATCAAAATTTATAGGATTTAAACTTTTAAGAGGTCAGAGAGAAATAACTGCTGCTCTTCAATATAATATGAAGCCTACAGTAAAAGGTTACATGGGTACTTTGTCTGGAATACTTTGGTTAGATCGTTTAAGAAAACCATATTCCAGATCTACAATGTCACTCGATGGGCAATATTCACTTCAAAGAGGACTGTTTGGAGGTGGACAATTGCGTCTTACTAGTCCAGCTTTCGGATCAAAGGTATGTTTTTAATATTTCCTTTATAATTAACTACTGACATCATTTTTATGGCCAGGAAATATCAGTGCTTACTAACACAGAAATTTTAACAAATTGGAAAAATCCGTTGAATATATCTTTAGATCTAAATATTTTCCCCAAAGAAGATCAAAGAATAAAGATAAATTCTGTATTGATAAGAACAAATGAAAGTGAAGGTATAAAATATTCTGGTGTATTTTCTGCTCAAAGCACTGTATGTATATCATTTTCTTATTAAGATATATATTTTAAAAATATTTCTGAAACTAAAAATGTGTAGGGAATGAAAATGGATTATGTATTAAATGAAACTCTAATAGTTACTCCGACACGATGGGGAAATCATTTAGGTGGTTACTTTATAGATTACAACAACATTAAAAGACCGATTTTTGTGTATTGTGAATTAATTTCGGGTAAACTATTAAATGAGGCGAGTTATTATAGTAATATGAATTTAAAAAGATAATTATTTTTATTAATTATATTTATTTACTATTTTTTTATGATGTTATTATTATTTTTTTGTTTTCCACTATAGCTTAATATATTTGATATAATCTATTTAAATGTGGATTTATCCTACGACATTAATGATAATGTTTTAAAAGCTAAGTCTGATATAGTATACAATGAACATCCTTACAAATTTGGCGTTGTATTATCAACTACTCCGCGAATCAATTATTTAATGCAATGGAATGGTTTGTATATCTTTATTTTTATTATAAGTAAACTTACTATAACTATGCTATTCTTTTATACGAATAATTTTTAGTAGCATAATAAAATTTTCCCCTAACATATTTAGACAGGTCCGGAAGTCCCGAAAGACTGATTATTGATGGCCGAGCAACTATAGATGACTCAGCTATATTGAGTGCTATCTACTTGAAGCTGGGGAAAAAAGAAAAATATCCTGTTGGTTACATAAAAAAATTCTTAAATGAAGAAAACTGGATGCAAACAGACAACCATCTAAATAGAAATCAAGTAGCAGACATAACTGTACGTTTTTCATTTTTAAAAATACTTAATCGTAAATTTAATACATTATAATTTTTATATGGTCAAAATAATTTTATGCATTCGATATTAAATTTAGAAATCTCTTAAAGGAGAAATCATTGAACGTGTTGTCACTCTGCATAACAATATGAATAATATTGTGACTTTAGTTAAAAATCAATATGCATATCACCAGACAAGATCAAGAAACATTAGCCCTTATTCAAAATTAGCAACAAGATACATTAATGATCAATATAGTACCATTAAAAGAGAATTTACTGAAGATCATTATTTATGTTCTGCGCCCACATTGAGGTTAAATAAATCATAATTTTATTTTTCGTGTAATTTTTAAATTAAATTTAAAATGATTCTATTATAGTATGCGTGTCGTTCGCGCACTTTCATTTGATTTTATTGATTTTTTAAAACTCGAAAGTGTTATTGATGCGTTGAGTGAAAAAATTGAAAAAACTACAACTTATTTGGACGAAACTTACAAAAACACTATTAATGACTTACAAAAGAAGTATTCAATGTTAGTTGGCTCTTTAAATAATAAAATTAACGATTTGGAGAGTAATATCGAGAATAACGTTCCTGAAATACGTGAATATAAAAATCTTGGTTACTCTTTAAAATGTAAATATTTTTATTGTAAACTCTTTAAAAATAAATCTCATTTAAAAAATAATAATAAAAGTATATGAAATTTTATAAAGCAAACAACACTGGAAGTAGTCTTAATCTTATTTTTAATGGCATCAAAAAACGAATGAAAATTGTTGAAGAATCATCATTTCATAAAATCTTACTAGAACGTATTGAAAAAGTATGAACAAAATTTGTTTTCTGTGCTATTGAAAATAATTGTTTTTATATTTTTTATTTTAGTTATCAAAAAGTCCTGTTGTTGAAAAAATATGGAAATCATTACATAAATATTTGCTAGGTTTAAAAGATTCAGTCCATTCTAAAGACATGGCAGATTTAATGTCAGCAGTTGATAGTTATTTGGATAAGGTTTGTGCTAGACGTGATTTTACATTATAGAAGAATAATTATTTTATGAAAATTAAAAGTTACACCCCTATATTATTCAAACATATAAAAAATAATAATAATTCCAACTAACTCATTAATTTTAATGTGCCACAAGAGGGTTGAAAATTTGAAAATTTTATAACTTTACAAATATCAAGATAATTTTTAATCAATCTTATCCTAAATTTGTAGAAATTAATTTTTTCATAATTGAACATAATGGGTGTAACTTACAAGTTTTTCAAATTAATTTTCCAAGATTAACTTAATTCATATATCATATTAAAACAATAAACTAAAATTGTTTATATAAATTATTTTACGCCTTACCTTAGGGTAACTCGATGAGTCAAATGAATATAAAAGTTGTAGTGAAAAGTTGTTGTGGTAATCAAAAAGAATTAAAGATATGATAATTAATAACAAATTTTGAATTATTTTTAGGTGGTTCATGATGGATTTAAAAACACCAAAGATGATCTAGTTCAAATAAAAGACAAATTTGTGGCTACTGTTAGATATATGATAGTGTACTATCCCGAATACATAACCTATCATAGAGTAATGGCTGCTGTTCATATGATAAACAGTACTGAAATATCACTAAAATCGATTTATAACTCAATAAATACTTTACCAAACAGTCTGAAAAGTAAAATAACTAAACTAGATAACGATGAAATTCCTGAAGAGTCAATAAAATCAATTTATTCATGAAAAACATATTAAAAAATACATTAATCAAAAATTAAATCAATAATGATTTATTTTTAATTTATTTAATGTAAAATTAAAATAAAGGTAGTTTATATATTAAAATAATTATTTGGTCAATTTTTGAAATTTTAGACTAGAAATTATTTTGCTCTGATATACATATTTTAAATCTATAGTATAAAGTTAAAAAAAGTTAAGTACAGAATGGTTCTAGCATAATGGAGTTAAGTCATCTTTTGAATAGCATTAATTGATATTTGACAGTTATTAAAATAACTTTTAACATTTTTAATCGTAAAATGCGTATTAAAAAAAAATTTACCATGTCCACCAAAAATTACAAAATGCTCAATCTTGAGGTCAGTAACTCTTAGAAGAAGTCGTTGAAATTTTAATTATGTAATACATTACAAATTAAATTAAATCTAAAATAATTTATTGTGATTTTAAGTAATGTAGACGTTCCGTTGCTAAGCAAAACATCACTTCAAGATAGTCAATTTTTATCAAAAATAATTTTTGGCTAAAATGGCTAATAACTCCTAAAAATCTAGTTTTTGGATTATTTTTGATTTATTATCCTAAAGTACAATGCATTGACATTAATGTTAAAACTTTAACATTGTTAAAAATTGAAATGAAAAATTTTTGAACTTTAAGCCCCTGAGTGTTTTGGATAATGATTTGATTTTCAGAAAAAGTATACCATCGGAAAGTAAACATTTTTAAAGGATTATCAAAAAATTTTTATTATTGATCCGTTCAGTTTTTAAAAAGTTATTTCAATATAAATTGAAAAAAATATATATCAATACTGACTGTTTTATAACAGTTCTAATTTTATAAGACATTATATTTATCTCGGGATTTAACGGAATGTTTTTAAAACTATAACGCCTTAAGAACTATCTAGATGCGATAGGTAATCCTTTGAAGTATCGTTAGTCAATATATTACACATGATGGGGTGATTTTTTTATGTCTGTCCATCGAAAAAAAATTGTTCTGGCGATTGTTTTGTTATGTGAAATCCGCCTTCAATCAAGGGAAATCAATTCAAATCAAGGGAAAAAATAATGTTATTTTTAATTAAGCAAATAATTTAACAAGCATTTAATATTCGAAAGAAATCATAGAAATTGTAAAATTAGAAAATTCCAAAATATGCCTCTAACATTATATTTTAATTTTACAGTATATTCAATATTTTTTTGTCAATATTTAAAAGCCATTTATAAGTATGTTCACATAGCATGGCGTATGATACGTATCTGATAAAAATTACTTTCACGTTCCCGAAGTAGCAACTTGGTGTAGTGTATTTGTTATACTAGTTGTTATATTGTTTTCGAAAAAAAACTAATTATCAACATTGTTAAAGTAAAAATAAAAAACCTTAGAAAAATGAACTTTTGAAAATTGTATTTTAACATAAATGAAAAAAAATGCTACTTGTACAGTTTAACAAAAATTTTTTAGTTATTTTCTTTGTTAAAATTGAATATTCTTATTTAAATATTATATTTTATTTAAAATCTAATAGTAGCAATATATTCGGTGTTTGTTCCATAGTTCAAATGACTAGTGTTGGTTGATTTTGAATGTCTAATGATACAATACGCCATTATATAATGATTGGTAATTTACTTAACATGTTATTAAATTGTTGCACAATTTTAACGTAAATTGAAAATTTTTCTTAATACATTAAACTATTTATTTAGAATAAAAATTAATTATGAGTTTTTTAATAGTTAATGTGCTTTTCAAATAAATATTTTCTGTCATTTGATGAGTAAACTAAGGAAATCCATTAATAATTTTAAAATTAAACCATGCTATCAGTTTTATGTGATTATAATCTTGTTGTTCTGTTTTCAATGCATTATTAATGACTTGACTGAATTGGAACTATTCATTATATTTAATTTTAAAAGTGAACCATAAACAATTAAGGGAATTTTATAAAATACAGATTTTCTAATAGACTAAATAAACAATCATGATGATAATTTTATTTTTATTCACATTAGTGTCCCATAATTTAAATTATGAGTTAACTACATTCATTATTTTATAACTTATAATAAAGTTATAATTTCTAGTTGAACGTTGTATGCATAATAGGGTTGTTATATTATAAACGTGTTTAAAATACCAAAAATGTCAAATTTTACATTGGTCTTGTGGAACATCTAAAACGTTTTAAACTGTTCAATTATAAAAAAAAAAACACGCCATTAACAACACTGGTACAAAAGTGGTTATTGTGCTAGGAAGAAGTTATGTAGACGAGAGATAAATTAATACTTATTAAGTTTTAGCGCATTATTGGAAATTAACATATTTTTATTATATTTCTAAATTATATACTGATGAGAAAGAAAAACAATTAATGCAAGAGCTGTAAAAAATCGCATCATTATACCCTAAGTTATATCTTTATTAGATATAAGTTTACAACAATTAATGCAACATTTTTGAATAAACAAAGATAAAAAATGGTTAGGAATTACATGAGAACATTTATTGTAAATTTTTTGTGAAACAGTTGTTAAAATTTGCTTATTTTTCTTGTATTATTTATTATATTTATGGCTTTAAGTATAATCAAGTAAAAAATTAAGTCAATAATTTGGAGATAATAAAAATCCTTAATTTTATTACCGTGAAGCATTTGTGTTAAAGCATTAATTAATTAATTTAAATAATGATTAAACGAAATAGTATATATATATAAACACTTCTTGAAGTTATTCGAACTATCGATTTTTCTCAATTGCAATGCATTTATTTATTATAATAATAATTAAATATTTTAGCAAAACAATTGAATAAGTACTATCTTACAAAAAAAAAACAAAATATTACATATAAAATTTTGATGTTCATTATCATTATTTTCGTAATGATATTTAACGTCATTTTAACTATGCAAAAAAAAAATTATGTTGATAAAAATATATGCTAAGGGAATTTCTAATAATTTGAATAATATAAAAAAAAATCGAAAAATTGCAAATAAATATTGTAAAAGCAATAGATATGAAACTATGGTTTCATACCATTAGTGTAGTTTTCCTAGGTGATGTGGTGGCTAAATAAACTGTTTTTGGGAAATAATAATGAGACAAAGAAACTAGGCGCAAAAACTTCTTAACTCGTCTATTATTTGAAAAAATAGAATAACAAATAGAACATATAATATTTTCTACCTGCGCAACCGTTTCATGTACAAAATAAAAAAAAAATTCCGTTCGATATTCCAATAAGAATTTTGTTTTTATTCCGTCATTTTATAATAATCGGAAATTTTACTAAATATTTTTGGAGGAAGGGTTACAAATATATATTCTTATTAGAAAGCTTAAAAAAAATGTCCATTGTTTATATATTTTTAAGCATAGGTACAGAGTGTATGAAGTAATGAGAACAATTATTAAATTTGGTATAATAATTCTGGTATAGTAATTATTTTTATATCATTTTAAGGAAACCAAGAAACTCATTGTAACTAACTCACTTTAAACTTTTTTTAAATTTTTCTTAGTTAACTACCAAATTTTTCATATTAATTTACAAAAAATGATTCAGGTTAACTTATTATTTTAACTAAGTCAATAATTAAATTAAAAATACATTTGATCTAATTTAGATTATGATAATAAATGTAATATATGATTTAAATAAAATAATTTTTTTGAATAACATTTTACTATATGTTTATGCAAGACGTCTTGAATATATAAATAATTATTATAATACATAATAAAACTAATTCAGAAGTATTAAATCGATTTATCACAATTATGATAAATTGTTTTTAATATTAAAATGGTTTATTTCTCAAGAAAAACAAATTCATTATCTCTAATGTCTATTAATATTAATGGGTATGGCCTATTGACAAAAAGCATTTTTCCCGATAGGACATTAAACATTTTCAATAATAATACTATAATTTTAATAGTAAATAGATAACATTCATTTTGGACAGTATATAAGGGAGAAGAACATTTGGGACAATCAATTGAAGGTCTAATTTCTTGTCGTTTATACAGCAATACTGACGAATTGTTTTTAGTTTTCCACATCCTAAAATTCAGGTGAGTACTCTATGATTTATATCTTAACTAAAAACTTTATTATATTTTATATACAAATTTAATTCGTATTTTTTTTTCTTTTGGGGATAATATTTTTTTATAATTAATAAAAATAACATAATAATTTTTAATTGGCAAAAAGTAAAGTAAGCTTAATAATTTAACCACAATGTTGAAACAATAAATATGAAATAAAAAAAAATTTATTTATCAAAAAAATATTATTTTAATTGTAAAATAAGTTATATCAATATGTTATTTAACTTTTTTAAATTATTAAATATATTTTATTATTAATAAATATTATGTTACATTAAATTAGACAAATAAGCCTTATTTGAAATGATTTAATAATAAAGTGATTTGTATTAAAAATTGACGAATTTGTTCAAACTTAAGAAAATTTTTTTAATCTAATTATTTACCTACCTAATTATGTTGACAAAATTATCATTTATAGGATTTATAATTATTCATTAATGATATAAAAATTAAAATTAAAAAATACGAATTAAATAGATATAAAATAAAAATATACTCACAATTTTTAATAGGTCATAATAATTTTCTAATTAATAGAAAATATGTTATTAATTTAATAAAATTTTTAGTTTTTGTCAATTATTTATAAAATGTATTGTATTTTCATCTTTACTAAATTATATAATTGATGTTACAGAATGAACCAACCAGGACAAGACCAAAACCGCACCAATCAGTGCAACCCTAATCACAAACAGACTGGTCCAGGTCACCAAGCTACCTACCAAGGATCGCGGGATAAGGCCAATATTGACAATCATGGACAACAGTTAAACCCAAATAATGAAAAATTTAATCCAAGAAAATAAAAACTAATTAGTATTTACTTTTTTTTTCTTTTAATTAATTCAATATTTATAATTATTTAAATGTTAAAACAAAGTTAACTTAAAATAATTCAGTTTTTATTTCAAAACATTTTATACTAATAATTTTTAATATCTTAATAAAGATGAATAATAAATTTTACGTACAAGAGTTTTATTTAATTTATCATTAGTAAATCATACTAGTACTATCATACTATTATAGTTGTGTCAGCTAGCTATTCTGGTAGGTGTAGTAGGCATTATTTAAATTTATTATACATTGTAAGAATATACATAACTACGCATAATTGTTATTAAAATTAATACATGTAAACAAACAAACCGTTTATACCAAAGATGTAAATTATTATATTTACACTATATATATTTATTGGAAAATTGACCTTAATTAAGTTTTTTTTTTTGTGAAAAATTGGAGTTTGTGGTTTATTGAATATTTTGATCTAGGCAGCATAATTCTGAAATTAATTCTCATTGTGAATATTAATATGGGGTTTTCTATAAAATGTGTAACATTATAAAATACTAAAGAATTTGTTTGAAAATTTCATCAAATTGGCTTAAGCTTCTTTATTCTGATATCAAAAAATTGCTATACAAGTCTGATTTAAGGTATGGACAATAACGCCGGCCGTCTAGGGTAGTATTTTGCATTTTTTACGTCCACAATGATAAGTAAAGAAAAATTTTGGCGATATCTATTTATTTTAGACAGCGATAAAATATCTCGAGTTTGTTCTTTTAATGATAATGAGACTATTGCATCTTATCATAGATAGTAAATGCATTTATCACACAAATATAGTTAACATTTAAAGCGAATGAATTAATTTAAATTATAAAGTTGGAGAGGAAATAATTTTTTTTAAGTTTCCAAAGTTAAATGAAAATTAGTTACTAAAAACAATTTAACCATTAAAAATTTGTTTTATTTAATAAACTATGCCAAAAGTAGTGTCTAGGAGTATAGTATGTTCAGATACTAAAGACCAAGAAGAATACAATGAAGAAAGACCATTACACTCATATTATTGTTTATGTGGACAAATGACACTTATTTTAGGTGATTACAATTAATTTATTTTGTTAATATTATGTGTTATACATTTTTTTAAACTGGTTCGCATAGTTTATTACTATAAAATAAATACATTGCTAGGTGCCCTTAAAAGAAAAATTAAGATAATTTCTAAAAAAACATTTCTTGGTGCTAAGCTCATTTATATGAAAAATGGTCTATATACCATTAAAAACGCTAATAGGTAAAACATTGAGAAGCTAATACTTTTATTATATGTAAGTGTTTTTAAAAAATAAAAAATAACTCAAAATTAGATTAATGAAGTTAACCACATTATTTATTTAAATTCTACAATTTTAAATATATAAAAAAATTAAGTTATTGTAATTAAATCCTACATATATATCAAGGCGCATAGTTAATTTTATAAGTGTTAGCATTTATTATGTTCATTGTAATATAAACAAATGTAATATTATATCAATTTATAAATCATTATAAAATTATGAAGTTCTTCTTTTTCCGAGCCTTTATCCCAATTACTTAGGAGATAAGATTTCCCACATCATTTATGTATACATCAGCCTCACTCATATATTATTCAATAACATATCTTCATCTGGTTTTTGCTCTCCCTCTGCCTCTTTTTTTTTTCAACACACATTTTCATAATTGTTCTTACAGCTTCCAATTCCTCTCTCCTCACAATCATGACAAATTTAGATGGTTTATCTAAGTTTATTTTTTTTTCATTTTATCAATAATTGATGCTACACGTATACTTCCTCTTATATATTTGTTTGTTGTCCTATCTTCTCTAGTCACTCCAATCATCTATTTAAGTATTCTCGAGCATTCATTATAAAATTATGAACTTATAATTAATATTATAGATATTATTATAGTCATATAGAGTGTGATTTGAATAGAATATATTTGAAAAAGTTTAATTTACTTCAATTAAAGGAAATACTAATACTAATATATATATACTACAAATAATACTTTTTGTCTATTCCAAAATGAGATTGGCTATAGTAAGTGTTCTATTAGTATCCTCTGTTAGACTTAAGGGAAATAATGAAATAGGGAGACATAGTATAATACAGAGGTTGGCCTTAGACAGCCCACCTATATTATTTTACTTTTATATATCTTTTTAATATTATATTATATAAATTATATGAAGTATTTGTATAGTAAATTTTGTGATTGCTGTTATCACCCTTTTTTTTAGATTGTGCTATTGAAAAATTACCTTTACGTAAACGTGATGGAGCTAGAGTAATTGATGGAGCCAAACATGCTAATAAATTGACTTTTGACCAAGATGAAATAATATATTTAAAAAGGCCTGAAGGTATTGAAAAACAACACCGGTATAAATGTAAAAAGTATGTTTTTGTTTTAGTTCAATAAATACACTTAAGTATAATTCATTATTTACAATTTTTTATATTTTATAGGTGTGGTTTATTTCTATACTATAAACATCAGACTACTTCTAATGTTTTTTTTATTGTACAAGGTGCAATAATGAAATGCACGGGTGATGCCCCTAAAATGGACATTTATAATCAAGTAGCAGTTGACAAACCTAAAAAAATTATGGTAACTAAACATACAAAAAATATGGGCAAGTTTAGCTCTGTAACAGTGTCTACTATAGATGAAGAGGAGGATGAAATAGAAGCTGTAAGTTATACATCTATTCATATTAATATATATTTTTTTTTAATAGTATGGTAATAGTTATTTAAATTATATATATCCCTTACAGAGAGAAGTAGCCGATTCTTATGCAAATAATGCTCGTATAATTGAAAAGCAACTTGAAAGAAAAGGGATGTCTAAACGTAAAGCAGTAGATATTGTTGAGCCAGAAATTGCTTTAGATATAAAAAGACATACACGTGGAACGTTATTAGAAAAATAAGACTTGTTAAAAATAAATAATTGTGTATAATTTGTAACTTTTAAAATAAAAAATATTTCAGTAATAATTTTTATTGTGAAACTTTAATAATCTATGTGCTTGTTAGATGTGATTTTTCATCATTGACCAATATTTGATGAACAAGTTCAGGTGTTCTTGGCATTAATGTAGAAGGATTTTCATATTCATTATTTGGGTTGTGAACATGATCATAAATCTGCTTATAGACAGCTGAAATAACTTCATTTGATTTTCGCCTAACATTCTTTAGGTGTTGAGTGTTTTTTAGATATCCCATTTGTGGTACTGACAATGTATCTGGCATAACTAACATAGTTTCAATTTTGGTCTAGAAATGATATGCCATTAGAATAAATCATAATATTTAAATTAATTATTTATTTATAATAGGTGGTTATTAATTGCGTATTAATTCTAATTTGTTTAAGGATAAAAGACAAATAAAGAGCAGTTAAAATATATAAAAATAATCCAAACATAATGACCATACATTTAATTTTTTAATTTATTTAATAAAAGTCTTAAATAGTGTAATATTACTAAAATGTGTATTTTATTTCAATACCTTTATTTGAAATTTAATAACTTAATTTGTTAGTTAAAAATAAATACATTAACTAAATAAAGGATAAACAAAAATTTAATTTAATAAAAATTTGTATTGTTTAGTCATTTAGTTAAGAATGGTGTCTAAACTAAATGTTTATTTATAAGAGCTAAAATTTTTTTATTAAGAAGATTTTGAATAATTATTTTTATTAATTAGGTAGTAATTATTAAATTATAAAAATAAAACTACCAAAAAATTTATTAAATTTTCTGCTTCCATTCCTTGGATTTGGGACATTGGAATATTAGATTCTTGAGCTTTAAGGGCTGTTTGAATTTCCTCCAGATTTAAATGAATGACTAAATATTTTATTTGCTCAATAGATGCTGTTTCTAATTGCTCATTCATATGTGTCTAAATTACAAAAAAAAATAGGAATTTTTGTAATTTATTGTATAAACATAAATGAAAAAAGATTTACTTGTAAATGTTGTAATTTATCATCAATGAATTGATATAGAACTAAAGTTTCATGTATGTCATTCAAACAATTTAATTTATATACAGCCATATCTAAAGGAGAAAGTCTTGAAGCACTTAAATTGATAGCTTGTAATAATGGATCCAAAACACAAGATGATATCTAAAATAAAATTTAGAAAATTAATGTAAATGAAAAAAGGTAATCCACTATTCAAGATAGTTATAATACCTTGAAGTATCATTAGACTGTAATATTTACAATTGCAAATTAAAATATCTAATCAAGACAGCTCAATAAAATTTGATAATATTTTGATGGACAATTATATTCTTTAGGTACTATCACTTTATTATGCTGTTATATTAAGGTTTGGTTACTTAATCGGGATTTAGAAGAATTAACCTGTTATTTATTCAGGCTCAAATCCAGAAGAGATTTTTGAAGGGAACATTTTACTATTTTTGAGAGCATGAAATATATTTTTTTTAAAAGGCAAATCATAATTAATTTTTTTAGTTATTAATCTATCAATTAGAAAATCACTTATTTTTTCTTCCCTTATATTCATGCTAGCATGTTTTATCACTAGTTTAATTTTAATGACAAACCATAGATATATCATCATGTTTATCTTCTGTAACTGCAGCTACTGACAAAACTTGTCTTAAGATACTTAGGAGGTAACCAATACCAGGTGATGGCGATAAGTCAGAAGGAGGGGCTTCAATACGTTCTAAGAGAGTGTCTCGAACTAAGTTTTGTAGTTTATTTAAAAAAACACATTCCATAGTTTTATGCAATTCAGTTATGGTTTGACACAATTGTCCAGCTGGTACAGTCTAAATAAATAAATATTATATTTATAAATGTATTAATTATACAAAAATTCTAGTGAAATCAAGATTTTAATTTGAATCAATGTAATTTTACTGTGTAAAAAATGAAGAAAATGTTTGCTATAATTAAAAAATAATATACTTTAATAACAATTTGAAGATAGAATTTCAATGAACTTGCAACACTGTATAAATCCAAAGGATTTTCATTCATGTGTAATACATTTTCTATACGCGAAGAAAGTGGACTACATAATCCTTCAGTAACACTACTCATACATGTTGCTATTTCTTCATCTACATCTATATTTCAATAAATACTATAATGTTTATCATTTTAACAAATTACAACTTATTACTCATTTTATCACAGTTTTTCAATAGATACGTCAAATATTTTCTCTCTTTTGGTATATAATCAATTAACCAAGACAACATATTATTAACATATAATCTTACATCTTTACTAAAAGTTTTTAAGGATACATCATTAGAACTATTAACTGTTAGAGCATCAATAAACATTTGAGCAACAATTGCTTGTCTGACTGTACAATATTCTTCTAATACATACCTACAATAAAATTGTTTAGGATTGTATAGTATAGCAATAAAATATTTAAGTAAAAAATTTAGGTTAATTTAAGTGCCAAAATTTTGTTAAGTTTTCTGTTTACAACAAATTTTTAGAATTTTATATAGAATTATTGATTTTGATAAAGACACTCATTTTCTTAGAACTACTGAACATTTTTGTAAAGGAAAATTGTTTGGTTCAAAAATCTTTATAATATAATGTAGTCAAATATTTTTTTTATGCCATCAAGGATATAGGTATTAACTTTAACTTTTTAAAAATGAAACTTCTATTATTGACTAGGTAATATAATAAACAAAGAAATTACAAACAATTTTGATTATAGTTCAATTATTTGATCTTATAGTTTTTTTATTTTATTAATCATTTGAATTTTAAGATATTTTAAAAATTTGGATATCAAGTAAAAATTTATCATTAACATCTTAGTTTTTCTAATACCAGAAGCAGGGCTGAATTTAAGAATTGTGCCATTCGATGTTCTCAATAATACTATTGCAATGATTTTTTGATTTATACATTTTGTTTGAGTAATTTTAAAAGGACCCAAGTTTGTATAAATTTGATGTTGGGATATACAGTAGCAGAGAAATATTTTTCATTTTAGGGAGGATCACATTACAAAATCAATGTTTAAATCAATTAATAAAAATATAATAATTTAAATTTGATAATAATTATTTTAATCACAATTGTAACTTTAATTGTAATTTTGATTATCCTGTAGTTTGAATGTACATTTCAAAGTTTTTTTATCAAAAATAAATTTTTTTTTTAAGTTTTATTTGTAAAAATTTTACATTTATGTTTGTTATTTTCATCTTCAGGTTAATAAAAAATCAAAAGAACTGTAAAAAAATGTAAACAATTTTTATTTAAAGTTTAAAAAATTTAATGTGTCCAATCACAATTAAGGTAGAATTTATCACACTATTAATGGAAAATTATTTAGTTAAAATAAATATACTTAAATAACACAGGCCGATCTTGCAGTACTTCCATAGCACTCACAAGTAAGGGACCATTAGAATTAGATTCTTTGTCTCTGCAATGTAATTGACACCATCTATACAGTCTCTCCATAGCAAGATGCTAAAAATGTTTAAAATTAAATGTATTAGTTTATACCATTAAATATATGTAATGTAGGCATACACTTTTGGACAATAGTCTGTAAACACATGGTTCAGATTTAAAAAACATTATTTTTTGTAACTGTGATGTGGACATGCTGTACATATATACACAAACATATATATATATATATATATATATATATTCTTTTGATATTATACTATGTTTTAAATAAGTAAATAAATAAAATTCCTAATAAATTCAGGAAAATTTCCAAATACAACAGTAATAAACCTTAAGTTATAAAAATTATTTCAACAGTTTCTTTTGGTCAGTAGTGTAGGTACAACTAAAATATATAATGTAACAAAAAGTCTTATTTACTAGTATATATATATATATATATATATTTGAGAAGGCTGATGACAGTAAGTTTTCTATATTTAACTTCATAATAATAATAAATAATCAAAATCCCCCCAAACATATTTAAAATGTTGTTCCTTATTACTTGATAACCAGATATCTGTTCCATAAGACTTAATGCAGATGTTTGGTGACCCGCTTGCATGAGTGTCCGACAATTAGTGCTAATAATTTGGGTTTTGTGTAAAGCATTAAAAAATTCTTGAGTGACATCATTATTTCGAAGACAATTAATTTCATTTGGAGTTAATTGAAATGCTTTAGAATATGTATCAACTAGAATTTTTTGACTTAATATATTTTTTCTAAAAATTTTTTGGTAAAAAAGAAAAAAAGAAAATGATACTATAAGATAAAAATTAAAATATAAAATTATTATTAAATTATATTTTAGTTGTGTTCAATATATACGTTTTTAAAATCAGTTTAATATATTATTAACATAATTTTACAAAGTCACATTGATATTTCATATAAAACAACAATAACCAACCTTTCAGTTTGCAATTGTTTAGTGAGTTCAATCAAATATTCAGTTTCAGCTTTAGTTTCTTTTAATTGAATGGAAATATTCATAACCGAAGAATTCATAGAGCTAACATTTTCGTGTAATGCATTTACAGCATTTTTCACTTTTTCTAAAGCTAATAAAAAATCCTAAAAAAATAATAAATATTTTTTCAAAAGTTAGAAAATTTAAAAAAAAAAAATAAGTTTTCCTAATAGTTCTTCTAAAAACAAGTTGCTATGTGTTTTATAAATAAAAATTTCATAATAAATTATTTCATATTTTCAAATCTATAAATTAAAACCAGAAAGGAACTAGGTAAAAATTGAACATGTTTAGATAGGGGCATTGTTTAAATCTTAATTATTCGTAAACACTCTGTTGCATTTAAATATTGTTTGAATTTTCTGTTTTAAAATTTTAGCATTAAAATTACTATAAGATAAATAGAGTTCCATTTTAAATTACTCTCATTCTGATTTTAACACAAACTATTATCAAAATATTAACAAATTAGTTCATCATTTTTGTATAATAAATATAAGTAGCTTACTTCATTTAAAGCTAAACTTCTTTTTTCTATTTTTGTTCTTAGACTTCTTCTACATTCTAATGTATTTTCTGTATGAAATTCGGATATCTCTTTTAATGCTTCCAATGCATCCTAAAAAATTGAAATAAAAATGAATTCTATGTAGATAAAAAATACCGACCCAAAAAATTATTTTCAATTTATACCTTTTCTTTTTCTAGATGTGTTTCTAATACACTATTCACTCTTTTAGATATCGCATTTTTTTCATCAGTCATCTTTGAAAAATAAAATAACAAAAATAATAATTATGACTAAAAAATAATTGTTATTACACGAAAAATGTTATTGAACCTTATATTTAATATAAGCAATGCACTGATAACATAACAAATATTATAAACATAAATTTTCTGAATTTGTGTTATCAATAAAAACATTTTTAAAATGTTAAGGCGTCTGGGTACCTACCGCTTTTTAGTCAAAAACAACCCGTTTTTGTTCCATCAGTACGACGAAACTACTGATGCGATAAGAATTCTGAAAACATATCTGAATTCAGCATCATGTCACTTAGGTATCGGTCAGGCCATTTTTTTGAATTTTTGATTTTTTTTTTACTCTTAAGTACAGTTTACAATTTTGAATAATTTAAATTTTTTCAAAATAAATTTTTGCGTTGAAGGAATCACAATTTCAAAAAAGTGGCCTGACCGATACCTAAGTGACATGATACTGAATTTAGATATGTTTTCAGAATTCTTATCGCATCAGTAGTTTCGTCGTAGTGTTGGAACAAAAACGGGTTGTTTTGTATGTTCAAACTAATGATTTTTAAACAGAAGCTGTTATTCTGACATGCTCGTGCGCGTATTTGCTTTATCCGCAGCAGCTATTTTATTGCCCATAGAGTTGCGTATGGCAATACCTACTGCCTAAAAATAGTTACAAATGTATACTTAATTTTATATATTGATCTGTATATATGATATTTGCTTTTATCTATTGACCGACAAAGCTATCATTGCATAATACAAAACAAATTTTTTTGATATATTCCTATATAAGTGTCGCTAAATAAATGGGGTCATAAAAAAATATTGCTACCAAAAAAAAATAATAAAAGAATCGGTTATGTATTAACATAATATATGTGACGTCAAAAAATATACCTGGTGAGGTACGTGTACATAAAAATAATTTTCATACACTTTTTTAGCTTCGATAAAAAAATGAGAAGTTATTAGTTTTACTATGATGTGTTTTATGCTTGCATCTATCCATATCTGTACCTACTGGATTGTTATTATTTAACGATACGCTAAAAAATAAAAAATATATCTTGTTGATGTATTCAGCATTACATTTTAATAATTTCTCTTTAAATTTGACACAATGACGTGTTTTTTTCTCAGTCACACATTATGTTATCAACCTAGATCTAACACTAAGTAACTTATGTGATGAGCTTTTTATTTCAACACATTTGAAATGTATACATACATAAATTGCTTGATCATCAAATAACAAGACAATGTAAATGTAAAATAAAGTAAAAAAAACAATATATAAAAAGTAGTTATTTAAATGTACGACCTCAAACATTTATTAATATATTGTACTTATAGGTATGGTATTTGATAAAATTGAAAAAACAATGAAGTGTGTAATAAAATGTGACCACTTTTAGAAAAGTTCTACATGGATTGTCTATTACCAGAGATAATTGACTCTCGTTTTGACAAAGGACTTCCCATAAGAACAGGCTTATAAAACTTAAATATCATACTGTGTAAATAATTTAATTTTGTAAATTGAATTCATATAATTCGAATTAAAGTTTTATTTATAATTTTATAACTTCAAAATAATCGATGTCGATGTCATATAATTTATTGTATTTTCTGTAAATATTTAGTTTTTCTTACTCATCAAAAATAAATAATTTAATTATTTTTATAATAAATTAAAATTTGTGAAATCATGACGCGTCTATAAGTAATAACGATGAGGCTGCTGCTAAACTATGGTTTTTATACTACACAAAATAAACTTGCGTCATTATTAAATTAATATAATCGTATTGTACCAAAAAGCAAGGCAGGTACCGGTTTTGTTATATACTATAAAACGACGAAAATACTCCAAATAATGGACACCTCACATTACTAATCATTTACTTCTCACACAACGACACTGCCTAACACGAATAATCGCAAAATTGCCTATATTCGACCCCTGAAAAAAGGTCGGTACCCAGACGCCTTAAATAAATAATTTTTAAAATAACCGATACCACCCATTGTCTTCTTACAAGTATAATTATTAATTGTACCTTAATATCTTATATTGTATTAATTACCTTATACTTAGTTAAAGGTCTACGATGTCACAAGATATGTAATAGGTATTTTTCGTCGGAGATAGAAGATTAAAATAATTTATTTAATTATTTATTCGTTCGAAATGTTATAAGAAAAAATTTCGCTTAAAAATAAAGTGATGATTAAAAAAAATATATTATTAAGCTATATATCATAAATGTTGGTTTAAAAAAATATTGACAGCGCTGGTGTAGAGAGGGGGTTATCTTCCTTATCGCCCTTTTTAAAGTCATCCTCAGCTCACTCCCCCAAGATATATTGCAAGTTTTTATTTTTTATATATTTCAAAAAATAATTTTAAGTGAACGACATTTAATGTCTCAGTTCTTGACCCAACCGTTTCGGGATCGATTCTCATATACCCTTGCAACTTTTGTTGCACCATTTCTAAAATCTACTCTTTAAAAATAATAAAAGTAGTAAAAGTTAATTAGATTAACAAGTGTAGAAACTTGACAATGATTAAAATTATTATCATAAAAAAAGTTTCGATTCAAAACAGTAGAGGATATGTATGATACACATCCTATTGACTTGTATAAGGGTAAAAAGTGTAGGTGGTATAACAGAAGGTTTTAGGATTAGAGTAGCAGTACACCTAAGTTCTACTTAAGCCCTTCCTTATTTTCTTTTGTGATGAGTTAACTATAGAAGTGCAAGAAGAGGTATCATGGTGAATGATGCTCGTTGGAGATATAGTGTTCATAAGAGAAAATATTGACAAAATTAATCAAAGGTTAGAGTTGTGAAGAAAAGCTCTTGAAGGAAAAGGATTACGAATTAGTAGGAGTGAGACAAAGTTAATAGAGTACGAGTTTAGTTGGGTTGTATTTATTGGTTACATATTAAAATACGCTATGTATTTATAATATAGTATATTTTATAATAATAAGTTAATTTTTAATTAATATTAAATTAATGAAAAAAAGGTAATATGTATTTTCTATTATTTAAAATCTGCCTAAATAATTTAAGTTGATTATAGCAGAATTATTTACTATGTAGGAGAAATATTATACCCTATTCAAATAATTTATAAAAAGTTACAAATCTATTTAGACAAATGCGTTATATTCTGCGTGAATTAAACTAAAAATTATCTCTAATTTTTCCTTTAATTCAATTAGATTTTCTGGTACATCATGAAAATTATATGACTCTTCATTTTCTTGTTTTTTGGGAAATTCATCTAATAATTTATTTATTATATCTTGTGGTAGTATGTGATTATATCAAAGACCAAAAACTGTAAATTCATATTGAAAATCATATTTTTTCAATTCTTCGTGTGTTAAAAAATAGCTTGCGCATTGCTGTATCAATCCTTTTAATCTAGCCAGTCTACCTGTTCCGTCATACTTTTCATTTATTAATTGCCAAGACGATCGTCTACCATTTTCTGTCATCAGATGGAAACATTACCAAATTAATATACAATTCATCGACAGCGCATATAACAGACGTGCATTTCTTAATACGCTTATGTAGTATACACTAATTTCTTAAAAAGAGTTTTAAATAAGTTATTGTGCAACAATTTATTATATTATTTTGAATTATGCAACTTTTACACAAAAATCGTACTTTTTTCTTTTAACTTTAATGTCCGTTTTCACCACAAAGACAAGTGAGTAATAAAGTATACAGGATGGCCCACCACTCACTGACAACTTAAATAACTTTTGATTCAGTTAATATTTTTAGCTGATTATTTTTTTAAAATAATAGTTATACGTTAGGACTATAGCTATATCTCAATAATTAATTTTTTACATTTTATTAAAAATATTAATTATTTTCAAATTTTAAATAAAATGTAAAAAAAAAAATCTGAGATAGCTATTTTGTAGAGTAGAATTTAAGAAAAATTTTAGTAAAAAAATATCTTATTAATATTGAGTAGTAAATATTCTGTAGCGTTTTGAAGTTTGTGAAAATTTGAATTTTCATGTATTATTTTACGGTATTAAACATTGAAATACGTATTGAGAAAAGGACAGAAGAAAACGCTATCTTTTCATGATTACTGTGTATACATATGATGATAATGTGTATACATTACAAACTTGGCATTAATACCATGATAAGAAATTAGATAAGGCAATTATTACTTATCACTCTCATTCAAAAGTATATTGAAAAGATAGCGTTTTCTTCTGTCCTTTTCTCAATACGTATTTCAATGTTTAATACCGTAAAATAATACATGAAAATTCAAATTTTCACAAACTTCAAAACGCTACAGAATATTTACTACTGAATATTAATAAGATATTTTTTTACTAAAATTTTTCTTAAATTCTACTCTACAAAATAGCTATCTTAGATTTTTTTTTTACATTTTATTTAAAATTTAAAAATAATTAATATTTTTAATAAAATGTAAAAAAATTAATTATTGAGATATAGCTATAGACCTAACGTATAACTATTATTTAAAAAAAAAATCAGCTAATAATATTAACTGGATCAAAAGTTATTTAAGTTATCAGTGAGTGGTGGGCCACCCTGTATATGGAAAAAAATTGTATTGATTCGTGTAATTTTCAAAAAGTTGTGGCGATATAAAATTAAAACTATAAAACATAAAATGGAGAATTATAACATAAAAATAGTAAATTTTTAACTACGGAACCATTTGCACATAGAAGATAAGTCGTGCAGACAAACGTTTTTTTTTTTAATTAAAGTATATTGATTAAGCTGTAATTTAAGATATACCTAAAAGTATCAATATTTCCGGATCATTTTCAAAAGTTAAGTCGAAAAAGAAAATAATTTTTTTGGAAAAGTTGACATTTCGATTCCCTTTCTGTGAGTAGGTAAAGTGTCAGATTTTCATAAAACTAAAAAATTCCAGATTTTTAATCTTTTTTCTGAAACCAGACTTCTGCGTGAAGAATTATATTGCAGTAAAAATTCAGAAAAACACTAACAAATAAAATAAATTTAGTTTATTAAAATATTAACAAGAGAAGGTGACGGAACTTTAAAGAAATCAACTTTCATGTGAGCATCAACTCCATTTTCTAAAGCTGCTATTAAAATTTTTTTATAAAATTATATAAGTCAATATCACGTCCGACGTTAATCCTAATAGAATCTGTGATCTACCCGTAAGAATGGAACGAAGGGCCTCATACAATCAGCGTTAGGCTTGTAGGATCCAGGTCTGGGACGGAATCTAGTATTTATTAATTTATTTTTATAAAAGTTCCGAAAAATATAACTATAATTTTTCATAAATAATGAAACATAAATAATATAATAGATTATTGTTTTTATTTTAAATTAATACGTTGCACAATCATTTGAAAAAAATTATTTTATAACAAAATAATATTGAAAATAAACCATTTATTTATAATATAGTTATTATAATATTTTATATCAATATGTTAACAAATTATTTTTTTAATTACTCAAAAATGGTATTATGAATTTTCTACTCTTTTTAAATCTGCTTAAATAATTTAAGCAGATTTAAAAATAATTATTGATATAAAGGTTTTTAGAAGATAAATTTATACTAGGTAAGATAAATATTATACCCTATTCAAAGATTTTATCAAAAGTTACAAACTAATTAGATAATTGTGTTATATTCTGCGTGAATTAAACTAAAAATTTTCTCTAATTTTTTCTTCATTTTATCTAGATGTTTTTCTTTATCATGAAATTTCTGTATATCATGAAAATTGTATGGCTCTTCATTTTCTTGTTGTTTGGGAAATCCATTTAATAATTTATTTATTATATCTTGTGGTAGTATGTGATTATCCCAAAGATCGGAATCTGTTAATTCATATTGAAAATCACATTTTTTCAATTCTTCGTGTGTTAAAAAATAGCTTGCGCATTGATGTATCAATCCTTTTAATCTAGCCAGTCTACCTGTTCCATCATGATTTGCATCTTTCAATTGGTCTAAGTGGGAACTTAAAAAATTAAGGTGATCCAATTTTAACATTGTTTTATTTATTTTATCAGAAACTTCTAATAACTGTCCCCAATATGATTTTGAATTATGTTGAATTATTAGAATTTCATAGGCATATACAGATAGCAAGATCACATACTTTAAAGATCGATCAAACATAATATTCTTTGCTTCTTCAATAGTCGATTGAAGAGTTTTTTTGTATGTTGTTGAATTATTAATTAAATCTTCAAGCGTTATATAAGATTTTTCAATAGAGTACAATTTAATAATATCATTTTTGACATAATTCCATGAAGACAATTTTTGAATACCTTCTAGTTGATCTTTTATTTTTTTATCATAAATTGTATCATTTATTAAATGTGTATTTCTGTTAAGATTACTCTGTAAAATATAAATTAAAAATTTAAATAAAATTGAACATTAATTATGTTTTTTTTAAATTTTTTTTACTAGNAATTAAAAATAAAATAACATTAATTATGTTTTTTTAAAATTTTTTTTACTATGTTTTATTATGAAAATATTATTGCTCAACAGTTACATAAGAATTAGTTATGCATTAATTATTTTGAATATAAATTTTTTTGGGTATATCATATAATATTTATGGCAATAGAATTTTAATTGAGTCATTTAGTTGCAAAAGGAATTATGTCCAAATATTGTTATTTGGGTTTTGTTTACCATACGGCGCCTGCTCGTTAATAATCAGAGAAACTTTATTGCTGAATAGATAGAGTAGTAGGTTATGAAATATTAACGTAGTTAACCGATTAATCTGTCTGTTACAGTAGAAATATAATAAATTAAAACTCGAATTGTAATAAACTAAAATATTTTTCAACTGTTACTTAATTAAAACTGATATAAATTAAAAAAAAACCCAGTAGTATCAGGTTAACCGCATAGTGAACTGCAATACAGATTGAAATTTTATAGTAATATTTGCCAATATTATAAAATGTTTAGATACAATTGTGCAAAAAGAAATTACTTAAAAAATGTATAGAACAAAATTAACAGATGTTTTATAAATTTTGATTCAAGTTATAAATTACTCAAATAAGAAAAATTTCTGAATAATTTTCTTTTATTAAATTTAAAGAAAATTTTAAAAACTTTAATTTATTAGGGATTTTAAATATATATATTCAATTAAAAATTGAGAAATAATTACTAACTCAAACAAACTAAAAAAAAGTTTTTTACATTTTTATATTTTCAGAAAAAATAAAACGTTCAACGAAACAATCATTCTGTATTTGTATATATATTATCATGCTTCAGGTTAAAGCTCATCTATATAGTCAAAATTAAGATTAAAATATAAATATTGTTTTCGTACCCATAAAAAAAATTGTTATACTTTTGCTACACTGCCTTTTAACCAAATCTATTATCTTTAAAATGTGTCGAAGGAAGAGATTCTCATTCTTATACCCCAATGATCAGTTTTATTGCTACTTACAACATTTATATAACACATATTTTTATCTCTATTAACAACGTTTTGACTTGTTATACCTGCTTTACCTTATTGATAAAGATGGACATAATATTTTCATTGGCAGTTATTATGGTTATGTATGATAATAATTATCATGTTATATCAATTAATTATTAATTAAAATAATTACTAATTGTGATAGTTAATTAATTTATCTTAATACTTATACATCATATGTCTATTATGGCACAAAAGTGTAAGTGATGACACAACTGTATTAGAGTTTTTTAATTTGTAAAGGTAAAATTTTTTTGTTTTTGTTATTTTAACCTATATTTTACATCTCTCATTTAATTAATCTTGATAAATGCTGCTTATGAATTTCAAAAACCTTACTACGAATTTTAATTTTTAGTTATGAAAATTAATTATCAAATAATTATTGAATAATTTATTAATAAACCAAAAAAAAAATCGTTCGATTATGTAAGACTCATCACAAGTTACTTTTCATATTTTGTATTCGTGTGATTAAAAAGATGTAAACTTTATACAAAATAAATAACAATTTAATATCTATGGCATATAATTTTATAATTTCTATTAAGTTATTTTAGGTGTTAATTAAAAAAAAAAATGTATTAAAAATATCATTAGTATTGATTTGTATTTACATTTGTATATATTGCGTGATGAGTCTGCATTTATTTGAAATTAAATTATATCTGTGAAAGGTTGAAACTTAAATTTAAATAAACATAAATATTATAAACATAATTATAAACTCACATTGATTTTAACTACTTTAAATTCAATACTGTTGTCTAGCATTTGTATAAATGATTCCAACCTTTTAATATTATTTCCTGTAAATAAAATAATTATATAATATGTTAATTTTCTCAATGATATTATAATGAATTTCTGTTTTCTTTTTATTAAAAGAATAAAACTTTTTAACAAGTATATACAGATTTTATTCAACATGAGATATACATACCGTCGTAATGGTACTTTTGTAATGCTGATTTTTTCTTATGGCATAATGAGATACAATCTTTTTTAAACGTCTTAAAATATAAATAACAGTAATTAAAAAAAAAAAAAACGGTAGCACAGTGGGGTCGCGGCATAGTGGAGACATTGCATAGTTGGGTTCAGTATAGATTTAATCTGACAGTGATTAAAATCACTATCATAAGAAACGCTTCGATGCAAATCTGTAGATAGTGTTTAATTTTAAAAAATTGATGGATAATTGCAAAAGCAACATCAACTTCTATTAAAATAAAATACAAAACCCATAATTATCATACAAAAATAGTATATTTTTCAATATGGTA